GCAATCAAAAGTTATATATTTTAAATTTATAAAGTTACACAATTAAATTTAATTAATATGTAGCAACATTTTTTTTGTGCTGACAGTTTATTTACGTACAAACATATAGGCATATACATATAAATGATATTTTGACATATTCAATTGTTTATAAGTTTCAATGTCTGTATGTTTGCATATATTAAAAAGCTTTCAATCACTTGCCAAGATACAGATAGGCTTAGCACAAAAAATCAGTTTAATTGCAAATTTAAATGTTTAACTTTGTTGTGTTTCAGCAAAGGAAACCCTGATGGGAATGTTTTACTTAAAATTTGTGTTTAACCTTTGTAACCTGCACATGTCAGCGGATGTGAGATTTAAAATGCATTTTGGAGTATTTGAATTTGTTTGCTCGTATTACTAGTGAATGCCTCGTGAACGAAGTTTGACAAAAAAAATTATTTTATTCAAAGAAAGTGCCATATTTTTATTAAAAAAAAAAATCAAATGAAATAATGATTTTTCAACCAATTATGGCTCACACTAAAATAAATTCAACGGCAATTTCACCATTCCTCATGTAGGCGATTGTTATTCAACACGATAATCTACTCACCCTCACCTCATCAACAATGAGTGTATATTGTATTATTTTAATAATTTTTCCTTGGAAAGCATTTGCGAATATTATTCTTTCTTTTTCATTTCACTCTTAATTGTTAATATAATAATTAAAAAAAAATAAGCGAGTTGTTTGTTTGTTTTAAATTTGAATCTTTCGAATAGGTTGGTGAGGTTCATTTCCCGAAAAAAGTGTTCATGTTAATCTAATAAAAAATCTACCTTTCTTTGTACTTGTAGATATATGTTCATTAAAAACACAGGGTAAATGACCTTAGATTACTTAGATTCTTACAAAAACTCAACCATTCGTTAGCAGCTAAAGCAAAAGTTGGAATTGGAAAGGAATATTTTAATTGTATGCATTGAATTATCTGAACAATATAGTTTTGTACCAAAATAATAAATAGTTAATTTTTTATACAATTTAATTACTGTCGCATGCGATATATCGAATTATGTGAGTAAATTTATTTATGTAAGTGTACAAATTGCATTTCTTAACATATTACTCAGGAGATGTGGAAGACAATGAGTTTTTTACTCATTCAAAATTACCAAATTTCAAGTTAATCGAGCTATAAATACGACTTTTACGAGGCTGTTCCACTAGCCTTTTTTCTTACAAACCTCACCGGAAACCAAACGGATAAACTGATAATTTTTCAATATCATCTGCCAGGTAAATTCAGAGTTGGTTGGAAATAAATATGAAGACGACGATTTTTATATCAATGAAGGGGGTAAATTGAACTTTTCACGAGTTTTACCCTTGTTAAGATGGATAAATTGGAAACTCGAACATATTGTGGACTTCTCCTTTTGTTAACCTTTCATATGATATCGGTAACTACTTATTGATATACGAGAATATACACAATGTGTGCAAAAATAACCGAACTTTATATTTAAATCACACAACATACAGCGCCAACTATTGAAATCTTGCAACATTAAAAAGATACATTCATCCTCTTTCAAACGCCACTAACATCCTGTAAGACGGATGACAGATGTAAAAGTGACAGCCATTTCAATAAAACCAAAAAATAAAATGGAACAAAGAGCAAATATAAAATTTTGTGTCAAACTTGAAAAAAAATTAATGAAAAAAGTTTATTGTGAGTTGTTGTATGAGTCGTACGCAAGTTTATACGTGGTTTACACGATTTAAAAATGGTCATGAGGATTTAAATGACGACCCAAGAGCAGGACGTCCAGAAACTAGTAACCGTGCTGAACTGGTGGAATAAGTCCGTGAAATCATTGGTATCGATGCAAATTTTACTACGAGAATGTTGGCTGAGGAATTGAATACGAGTAAAAACACTACTTGGAGAATTTTAACTGAAGATTTGGGGAAAAGAAAGGTCTGTGCGCGATTTGTTCCACATGAACTAAATGACGACCAAAACAGCGCTCGAATTTTTAATGAAAAAAGGGATTTCTCTCATCGACCATCCTCCGTATTCGGCTGATCTATCACCATGTGACTATTTTTTTATTTCCAAAACCAAAAACCAAGATGAAGAAAGCATTTTATGATGATATCCCAGCCATTTAGGGTAACCGAGGTACTGAAGAACATTTCTATAAATGACATAAAAAAATCTATGCAGGCGCTGGTTGATCGTTCCAAACGTTGTGTCGAGTCAAATGGAACCTATTTTGAATAAATAATAACTTTCATAGATAATATAATGTGTATTTTATTTTATATCCAAAAAGTTCGGTTATTTTTGGGACAAACCGTGTATATAGATACTCTAATGTATTTTGTATTTGTAAACTGAGTTAAATCATAATGACATAACCAAATAATTTATTAAACAGGCAGACATACAAAAAAAATTTAAATAATTAAAATAATTATTTATTGTTTTTCCCACAAATATAAGTATTGAGTAAACTTTTTTCTTTTTTTTACTAAAAAAATGTAATTTTTGTTATATTTCCTAGAGGAATGCCCGCCAAAAATTATTCTATGTGAATTTTGTCAACGATGTCCTTCAGTTATTGGAGGCGATTTCCTTGTGGTAACTTCCTGAGACATTTTTGTAAAAATATATATGTAATGTGTATAACTTTCAATCAAAACAAGAGCACTTATTCTCTTAAATATATACAATATGCCTTAAAATGTTTCATTTTTTCCAATTATTTTCCGAATCAAACTTTTGCTTTTACAATAACAATGCATGCACATTTATTTTGGAAAAAAAAGTTTTTAAGATTTTAATACTATTGAAAGTGATATTGAGATTCGATTTCTTGGTTGGCTGAAAGAGGATGTTAAGAGTCTAAAAGTAAGCGGGTACATCCAAGCATTGAGTAGTCTCATTTTACTCCCCCTTCGTGCATCTTAATTAGACTCTTGCGAACATATCGCTCGACTTTAAGAAGGCGTAATTTTCGTCCAAACAAGTATGCTCACAACCGTTTGACGGGCGCTGGAAACATAGGAAAAGATATGAAGCTTCAATAGACTGAAGGTGGGACAATCACAGAGCGAATGCTTCAGCGTTTGATCATCTTTTTCTGTGCTGGCACTGGACTTTTTCCAAATCGCTAATATTTCCCCTAGATCGTTTTTCGCCAAATCTTTCTCGAGTTCTATACATTCCTTAAAAATGAGTTCTTGCTCGGAGTTTTGGCTTAAGATTGCATCCGCAATTTGTGTACAAAAATTAACTTTCTTAGAAGAGAATTTGAGTGATATCAATGGCTTCTAACATCTCCTTGCAAAAATGTTTCATTTTCTTCGCGCAGAGGCTATAAATCTTACACCAAACCTTTATCTCAAGAATTTCCAGCGCCGAATTATCAGATCTAGTCATTATCTATTGTATATAAAAGCAGAGCAATAATGAGGCTTTGTTCGTCGAGAGTTGACTTTACATTCAAATGCTTTCCTAGTCGATTTCAACGCTAATATTGTTATTGGTGTTAAGTTAAGAAAGACGAAGTTATATTATATAAGAACGTCTTCAAAGTTATGTCTGCCAACAGTAACTTAGTACCCGCGATATTTCGTTTTGCACTCTTTTACTACCAGTTCCATACGCTTCGTTTCGTGACCCAGTGTGGAGAAAATAGAATTCACGGTGTACGTGTACACATCTGTAAAATTTAGTAAGTTAACGGCAGCTCCTATTCGTGCTGTCGAAGGCAGCTTTAAAATCGACGAAGAGATGGTTTGTGTCGATTTTCTTTTTACGGGTCTTTTCCAAGACTTAGCGAATGGTGAATATCTGGTTCCTAAGCCACAGTAATAAGGTAGAATCAATTTGCTAACAGTTACCATTAGTATTTTACATATCACACGATAAGTAGCGCAGACTGTATGATCGCTCTTTTTGTGGATTGGGCACACTCAGGTTACAACTGTTGGGCATGCTTTCAGCCGACCATATACTGCAAAGAAGCTGATACATGCACCTCATTGCAACAGTTCTTCTCCGTATTTGAATTGCTCCGCCGTCAATTTATCGGGCGATTGTTACACGAATTCCTTCATAGTCGGGCAATGAAAAATTTGTTTCATCATCATTGTTTGGGGAAACGGGTCTTGCCATCTTCTGCTGTTACATTTTCAGGCTGAAAAAGTGTTCCTTTCACAAATCCAGTGTGCTAACTCCGAGCATCAGTCACCGGATCATCTCTCTGGGTCCTGCAAGAGTTTGCTACGGTGTTGAAACCTTTTCTAAGTATTCATCTATTTTCGTAGAATTTTCGAGTAATACCTTGTTTCTTAAGCTCTTCACACTTACGCATATAGGTCTTTTATTCTTTTTTTATCTGCACATGGCTGTCCCTCTTCAGCACTTGGCAGCTCTCCCACCCCACTCATATAATGGTCCAACTCAACGTTGCGAGATAGGCAGGCGGCTTTCTCTCCACTTCTTACTCTTCCATCTTTGATCGTAATTTTCATATTTACACACCACTGTGCCGTAGCCCCTATCCATCTGGTGTTGATATGTTAATTGAATAATTATTATAATTTCGATTTACTTCCTCTACTCATATGTTTACACATACGTATGTATGGATGTGCATATTAAAGCAGTTGTTGGTGTGGAGTCCTTATCGCAAGACTTCCATTGCTTATTTCCGAATCGGGTTCTAGCTGCAGTCTACTAAGTCAACTTAATTAACTCATCTTTCCGATATTGCGCTATTTTTAAATACGCATTTTTCATTAGCAAATTTTAATCTATTAAATTGTCACTCATGAAAAGCAGTTGAAGCGCCAACGCAATTAAAACAGGCAAAATGCCCAGCATGACCGATTAGAATAATAATAATAATGTAAATACAAGTGTTAAGAAAAAATTAAAATAATAAACACCGTAATAATCGTTTGCATTTTGCATATAATTTTTAAAATGCTCACACTGATATCACCTGAAAACAAAAGCACATTCCCACCAGCAATTGCAGCTCAGTCGCTTATCGTCGCTGTTTCACACCATTTGCGTGCGCTAATAAAGTATCCAAGGAATATTTCGAAAATGTTAACACAAATTTTATTGTGCATTTGTGCAGTGATTTGCCTTTATTTATCCTATCGCTATGCAGTTGGACGTCCTGCAGGATTTCCGCCGGGTGTGTATGGCGAGGATGTGTTTAGTGATTTTGTTGAAATCAATTTTCTCCATTTAAATGCAATTAAAAGTTTTAAATGTTTAATCTGCTCCTTGTTGTAATATTTATTTAATTACTTTTCCATTTGTGTTTATTGTTGTGCTGTGCAGGACCTCCGCGTATACCGCTCTTCGGCAGCTACTTGTTCATGATGATGGCCAATGCTAAATATTTACATAAGGGTGTATTGAAATTCAGTAAATGGTATAAATCGGATATTGTCGGTTTTCATATGGGCTCCTTCCCAGTGGTGGCTGTGCATAATGTCGAAGGCGTTCGAGAGGTTTTGAATCGAAGGGAGTTCGATGGTCGTGCGCAAGTTTATGTTGGTAAAATGCGTGCACCAAGCAATGAGATGTTAGGTAAGTATATATACTTATGTACATATGTATATGTGTTTTTACATTGATGACCGCCACCATAGCGTCCCACAAAACCGGGTCTCACAGTATATATAAGTGCAGGTAATCCAGTTCTTCTGAATATATTGCAATATTAGGCATAGTAAAAAGAAATCCATTATTTTTTCATAAAATTGAATGCTTAATTTTTTCTTTTCGTGTCCGGCTTTAATCAAATGATTCCAAATGGTTTTTATGCAATCTTTAGCACGTGGGCAATCGCAACATTGCTGATTTTATCGACATTTTCGACAATTGGCCTTCCACTCCTTGAAGCATCTTTCATTTCAAAATTAGCGGGATGAAACCGAGGTCGCGCATGATTGACTATAATTGTGTCAGTATCAGGACCATAAACGCGATTAACATTTTCAGCCACTCGGCTTGTGTTTTCGCCCTTATCGAAGAAACACTGAATAATTTTTATTTTTTATTTATTTTATTTTTTTTTTTTGGTTTCCACGCTCAAACAAAACTGATTCAACCAATCATAAAATCGACAGAACAGCTTTTTAATACGAAATGTCATCTTTCTAACGCCATCTAGCGGAGCCCGATCGGACTTATACAACGCGTGATACAGATAAATAAAGTCCTCTATGAAGCAAAATAATGGGTTACTTTTTACTACACCCAATATATACTTATAAAGTGGGTTTTTTTTAGCCATGTAGTTCTCGAAAACAAAAAAAAAAATAAAACACATAATTTAATGTTATGGCCAAGAATTGTGGTATTTTTATAAAAACAAATTCGTTCATGTCAACCTCAAAATTTTCTTGTAAAAATCGGTGGCCATCTGGTTTTAAGGCGCCAAAAACTTCGTAATAGAATTCCGACCAAAAGTGTTTTAAAGTAGATTAAAGACTCCTTCACAGGGTTTTTTTTTAAGAATCGACGTTTTCCTCGGAGAATTGCTGGTTGAATACGTTTGAGGTCGCCTAATTGCTACGATAAATAGTATAGCAAGCCTTAAACTAATAATCTTTTCGAAAATCGAAGATGATCTTCATGTCTAACTATGCCTTCTTCACTTTCTACTACCGTAGAAGTGTATTTTTCCCCCCTTTACGCGAATATCTCCCAAGGTCCTGGATAATGTATATGGGTTTTTAATTGTTGAGAGTGTGGAGACCTTTCCACTGACGAGCCGGCCATGAGTCGAATAAATCTCATTTTTTGAGAATACATCTACACATGGTATGCAGGTCTAGAACGACCATTAAAGCTTACTCTACCTGCGAAAGTGGAGGGGAGAGAATCTTTTCGGGATTACACCCTCCTATCACTCTTCATTTTTCTTTGACTTCGACCTCTCTCTCGCACCCAGAACGAACTACTGAGTCTTCACAAATATGCAAATTTCTTGGCCGGTCCCCTTGAAAGTCTGGTCCCCGAATGGCTAGCATTTCGTACTGTCATTCAGCGAGGCAGAGTACGAGTCCTGGTTCGACCAACATCCAAAATTATAGAAAATTAATTTTTCTAATTGCGACGTGCCCTCGGCAAGGAATGTCAAACCCTCCGATTGTGTTTTTGCCGTGAAAGAAAGGCTCCTAATAAAAGTCCATCGATCATTTGGACGCGATTTGTAAAAACATCAAGACGCGTGTGGTGGAGGGGCTCGGCCGAAAATCGCTTCAGTAGTTAGAAATGGAAGGAAAAACACTGTACTGATCCAACAAGCGGGTCAAGCGAGCCCTGTAGCTTCGGATCAGTACGTGGCGTATGAGACTTCCGTCTAAACGCTTTATTCAGAGAACGTTGTTGTTGCTAATCTCGCAAAATAAACATCCCAATAAAAAAATATTTAAGAAAGAAGAAATCTTGGTACTGACAGCTCAAGCTACAAATCTAAAACTCAAAGCGTCTTGAGTGTTTGGTATTTCGAAATGTGTCGTCCATCTAGTTTTGCTATTCTCTTTGATCTTCTCCGTTCATTTCAATAATTTAACATATCAGGTATATAAACGAATTTTATAAAAGTTCTTTACTTTTCACATTCTCTAGGTATTTTCTTTCGCGAAGGACCTATTTGCAAAGAGCAACGTCGCTTTATTCTACGTTTTCTACGTGATTATGGTTTCGGACGTCGCTTCACTGAATTAGAGTCAGTCATACAGGAACAAATCGCGGATCTGCTAGATCTCATACGCAAAGGTCCACGCTACCCGCATGAATATGAACTCTCCAAGCCTGGAGGCTATAGAATTTTTATACCAAACATACTTAGCCCATTTGTGGGCAATACCTTCTTTCACATTCTTCTGAATGAGCGACGTCCGCGTGCCGATCATGCGGACTTACTGCATTTGGTGAAGATGGGTATGCAATTTCAACGTAAGGCCGATGATTATGGTAAAATGTTAAGTATTATGCCATGGATACGTCATTTTTTTCCGAAATCAAGCTCTTATGACGCGCTCATGGAGTCAAATGTGTTTATTTATAAGTTTTTTGAGAAAATCGTCGATTACCATTTGCGCACGTATGACGAGTGCAGTGAGCGGAATTTCATTGATTTGTATATTAAGCAGATGAAGCAGGAACATGCTGAGGGACAAACAGATTGCTATAATCGTGAGCAATTCATTATGAGTTTGGCGGACTTCTCGTTTCCATCTTTCACAGCTACGGGCGCACAAATGGGTTTTCTCATTCAATACTTCCTTCATTATCCCGAGGTGTTGAAGCGCGTACAAGCTGAGATTGACACCGTAGTAGGTAGAGGCCGTTTGCCAACGTTGGAAGATCGTCAGCACATGCACTATACCGAAGCCACGTTGCGTGAAGGCATGCGTATTGAGACTATTGTGCCATCCGATTTGCCGCACAAAGCTTTGGTGGACACTGAACTTATGGGCTACAAAATACCAAAGGTAGGAGTTGCATTCAAAATTATTTCCACTCGCTACTACATATTTTTGTTAAAAAAAAATATACGCACACCTTTATTTTAGGATACAATCGTGGTTCCCGGTCTGTATGCTTTTCACTCAGACGAAAAGCTATGGGGTGATCCAGAGAATTTTAGACCAGAACGCTTCTTAAATGAGGATGGAAAATTATGTTTAAAAAAAGATATTACTCTACCGTTTGGCGGTGGTGAGTGCTTTGTTGTTCTATACTTAATTCTTTTTTTTTATAAATAAAAAATTCATAATTTGTTTTTAATTTTCAGGCAAACGTCTGTGCGCTGGCGAAACTTTCGCTCGAAATATTATGTTCTTAATGATATCGGCCTTATGTCAGAATTTCAATTTCGTTTTGGGCCCTGGCGACAAGCTGCCCGATATGTCTAAGAATTACAGTGGTCTCACAACGACACCATTTGATTTCTGGGTGCAGTTAGAAGAGCGGATATGAATGAATGGTTGTCGCCTTTCATTCTACTTACATTTATAAATATGTTTATAAGAATTTGAAAAGAAAAGTCTGAATATGGGATTTATTGTTTATTGGTAAGGATTTGTACATAGAAGTAAGGAAGGGATGACTTAATAAATATTGTTTTTGTATTTCTTTAAAACAATTTTCTGAATATTTTTTGAATATCAGAAACACTCTAAAAGAAAATGAAGAAGAAAACGCAACTCTCTCTTTCCCGCAACATTCCCCAAAAAGTACTTTCGGGAATAATTTTGCGGTTACAACAACAACAACAACATTGACATGAGAGTTCCTTTAACAATACAAACACTGCCGTATTGATTTCGTCATTTCACTCATTTGGGATTAACCAAAACTTAATTTTCTAGTAGAGCCATTGGCTGGGCAACAAGGAAGCATCCTGTCTCCTCTTTTTTGTGGATTTCTTCGATAAACCAGTTACTCCAACTGCTCACAGCGGAGAACTTTAAGGTGGTAATTTATGCGGATAATCTTGTCATCCTATCTTCTGGCAAACATCCCAATCCCACTATCACGATAGATCCCTGGAACTCGCTAGTAATTAGGTTGAGAGAAAAGAACGGTCAGTGAGCCCGAAAGACGAAATTTTATCAATTCAACCCACCATCATACTTAAGATCGGAGTAATTCTTGACAAAACTCTTAGCTGGAGGGGGAATGTTGAAAGCAGGGCCATTTGTAATGCCTGCAGGATCGGCTGTTGTACTAACATATGGAAAGGACTACCTCAGCAAAGACCTTTCAAGTCTTTCCTGATATTAGCCCAATTGACATATAAGGGATGCTTCATAGCAGCGCTAACAGCTAGTCCCCTAAATGTCCTAGATAATTGAGTTCAGTCTTCAAAATGAGAACGTTAAAGCGACATACGCAAAGTTATAAAAGAACTCGTGCACGTATGCCAATGCATCCCAAGCCAAGTCACGGTTTGGTGCGGTTTATGGGCTGGTGGCATCATTGGACCTCACTTCTTCAAAGATGATGCGAATCGTAAAATATAGGTTTCCATTCGTTTTTCTCGAAAATTAAGACTTTAATGTGAAAAAATTTTTTATACATTTAATGTTCAAAGTATTGCCCATCGAAATCTACGATGTTTGCCCATCTTTCTGGCAGTTTGTGGATCCCATCCCAAAAGAACTTCTCCGTGAGGCATTCTGCATTGATCTGAACAAGTGGTAATCGGAAGGTGCTATGTCTGGGCTATAAGACGGATGAGCTAGAACTTCCCATCAACAGTTTTCCAAATAGTTTTTAACTGCCCTTGCAACATGTGGCCGAGCGTTGTCATGATGAAAAATTATTCATTCGTGTCTGTTCGCATATTCTGGTCGTTTTTCCGCGATGGCCCATTTCAAACGAATCAATTGTTTTCGGTAGAGGTCCCCATTGATCGTCTGACCCGATTTCAATAGCTCATAATAGAACACACCATTGTGGTCCCACCAAATACATAGCATAACCTAGACACCATGCATATTTGGCTTTGCCGTGGATGCCGATAGTTGGCCGGGCTTCACATACGATCTCTTGCGCTTTGGGTTATCATAATGAATCCATTTTTCATCGTCAGTTTTAATTCATAAGGCACCCAATTCCCAAGCTTCTGGCTGAATCCTAATGATTTTAATCGTCTGGAAACGATTGCTTGATGAACGCCTAATACTTTTGCAAGTTCTTCTTGCGTCTGACATGCATCATCGTCTAGCAATGTCTCCAATTCTTCGTCTCGAAATTTTTTTTACTGTCCGTCGTCTAAGTCGAAATTGCCACTTTTGACACGTTCGTTCGGCTAAAGCATGGTCACCATAAACGTCCAGTAATATACGATCGGTTTCGGTAGCACTTTTCCTCATGTTAAAGTAATGAAGAAGAGCTCCCCGCAAAAACAATTTATCTGGTACAAATTTCGACATTTTCAAATGAATGAAACAAATGTATACACCCCACCCATTAAAAGCAGGGAAACGAAGCGAGCCACGGCCGTTTCTTCATTCTTTTCTACATTATCGGCCGTCAAATTTAAGGCTTTCTTGTGATTTAATGATCAATTAAATTCAGAGATTGGTATGTTGAACTTGAAAAATTGCGTTTATCTATATAGAAGTCTGTAAAAAAATTTTTTTTTTTGCATGAGCATCTGTGATGTCTTTGTACTGTTATAGTTTTGTTTTAATAAACAAATAAATGCAAAAAAATAAACACTTTCATAAAAATTAGGTGAATGCGCTTTGCTCTTGCCAATTTCTCTCCTTCGCTATCACATTTAAATGTACATATATACGAGGTGTGTTCAAAAAATATCGGCCAGATTCAACATTCGTAATGCATCCGCGCACTTAATTTCGTTTTTCACAGAAAATTTGATAAAGGTATCTTTGATCTATTTTTTTGAATAGGTAAAAATCGAAGACCATCCAAAACACTTGCAAGCAAGGCAGCTGTCAACAATTAAGTGAACATTCAAAATGGCCGAGCTTGTCGGCATAAGTGACAGACATGAGTACCAACATAACGCCACAAAAAATCGAAATTCGATTATACGCAACCCGCGAAAATTCAAAATTCACGATACTTTTTGAACACACCTCGTACATATAATCCATGAATCATAAACAAATGTAAACATACACATGAGTTCATATGTATGTAGGAATACTAAGTAGCAAAAAAAAAATTTAATTTTGTCATTTGGGCAGTTCATTGATCATTTCAAATGTGTTAACGGTCTGTAACGATTATCATTGCGGGTTTTATTTTCAAATATTAATTTATTGAAAGAACATTTTTCGAAAATTTTCAAGCTTTTTTGTTAAAATAATTATATTTTCTATGGCATGTCATTTTCTGTACATTTATTCATCACTCTTTCCCAATTTTCACTATTTGTTGCCAAATTGGAAATGCCAAGTACAGTCAGTCCTTCTCTAACTGGTCTTTCCAAAAGGATGGAGGTCTGCCTCGAAAACTGAAACTGAAGTGTTCGCATGTGAACGTCATCCATGCCTTCGCCACAAATGTTTATCAGGGCGGTTATATCAAGTGTACAACTTTGCTTCCGCCGTTTTCCGATAGGTGGCTGTACCGGCTGAGGCTGGTTGAAATACATAGATGATAATGCCTTTAAAGTGAGTATGTACAGTGCCTAACGAATTGTCATCGCCGTTTCAGTTGTTTTTGTTTTCGTATTATTCACGCTTGAAAATGTCCGTTTATGTGCCTTAATTCTCGCCATTTGCGGGAAGTTTTACTTTTCTGTTACAATTCGAAAAAAATGCAGCTGAAAAGTGGTTTCGATACGATAATAATAAACGCAGAAAATCATGGGGAAAGCCCGGGCATGCTTCTTCGTCGAAGGCAAAACCGAATATTCACGGCGCCAAGGTTATGATTTGTATTTGGTGGGATCAGCTCGGTGTGATTTACTACGAGCTCTTAAAACCGGGTAAAACCATCACAGGAGATCGCTACCGAACGCAACTGATGCGTCTTGGTTGCGCGTTAAAAGTAAAGCGGCCACAATATCAAGAGCGACATGACAAAGTCATTCTCCAACACGACAATGCTCGACCTCACGTCGCAAAAGTGGTCAAAAAGTACCTGGAAACGCTGAAATGGGAAGTCTTGCCCCACCCGCCGTATTCCCCAGATGTCGCCCCTTCTGACTTCCACCTATTCCGTTGGACGGCACACGGTCTGGCAGATCAACATTTTTTGGATTGCTTCATGAATAGCGTCAAAAGAGGACTCCTTTTTTCGAGCCGGGATCCGAAAATTGCCGGAAAGATGGGAGAAAGTTGTCACTAGCGAAGGACAATACTTTGAATAATATATCTGTAAGCACTTTTTCGCAATAAAGCTTTTAATTTTGGAAAAAAACGGCGGAAGCAAAGTTGTACACCTGATAATTAGGGATTTGCAGAGCTTGGTTTTGGTTCGTCGAAAAATGTTGTTGTTGGTATTAAAAATGGTTCCAAGATAGACGAAGTTATATAAGTACGACTCCAAAGTAATGACTGTCAACATGATGACAGCAGATACTTCGTCTTCACCTCGTTCACTACCAGACTTATATTGGTTTCGCTACCTTATCTAGTTTGGAGTACGCCCAATTCACTGCGCGATTGTTGAGTGCATCAATGATGGTTTTATCATCGGCGTACGCCAGCAGTACACACGATAAAGAGTCACTTTGTCTGAAACTTCGTTTGGTGTCGAAAAATTCGAAGAAGTATTGCTTAACGTCAGTTTGCACAGACCTTACAGGAATACCAAATTCAGACATAGCAGTGTAGAGGAAGCACTTTTTCGTGTTGTCGAAGAAGATCCTTTTCTTAAGTTTCTTAAGAATTAAAACATGGTAAATATCTGGTCAATGTAAATTTTTCTAAAGCTGCACTAATAAGCTCCAATTGGTTCGTTGACGGTGAGCTTAAGTTTTTCAGACAATTGAATGGGACCTTATATACGATGTTGAAGAGGCTTAATCCACGATAATTGACGTAGACTGTTAGGTCCTCATTTTTGTGGATTGAAGGGGCACACTAAGGTTCCAATCGTCGGTCAATATTTCATTCGACCGTATTGCGCAGCTAGTCCAACAAATCATCGTCCCGACCCTTTGTCGTTATTCAAGAGCCCAATTCCTATGCCAACTTCTTCATGGTCGGGCAATCAAACATCTCTTTAGTAACGTAAGGATTATTCAATTTCTCTGTCTTACCATCGTTTTCACTGCCATTAAGCAGGCCGGAATAGAGTGTCCTCCATAAATTCAGTTTATATATGGGCGCTTTTTAACCGCTTAAGCGATTTTCGACCGAGCTCCTTCTCCAATTCGTGATGTTGCTTCTTGATGTTTTCCCAACAAATGGAGAGGCCTACAGTTTATACTAAGCCGCCTCCGAACGGCTGCTGGTTTTTTATAAATAGCCTTTATTTCATGTCATGACATTCCTCGCCCTTAGCTTACTGTGGGTATTAACCGCTAGATCATCTCTCTGAGTAGTAGAATTTTTTCGAGCATTACATTAATGAACAATTCAACAAAAACTGGATCGAAAACAAGTCTCACTGCGAAAATTTTAGAGCTTAAGCAGAATGAAACCGATTTCTTGCGTCGTTTTCAACTATGGATAAGTCTTGAATCTGTCACCATGATTCCAAATTGAAACAAGAACGTTTACAATGGACTGAAGCTGCTTGTTCAGCTCCAAGGCAGGCAGTCACAGCGATCAGAAAGAGAAGTTATGGCATCAGTTTCTTGGGATGCAAAAGGAATTTTGTTGATTGATTAGCTGCCGAAAGAGGAAACAATCAGCCCTGAATATTTATGCAGCCTTTTGGACCAGCTGTATGAAAAAATTCGGGAGAAAAGATCTGGTTTGCAGTACAAAAAAATCATTATACATCAAGACAATGCACCTGCTCACAAAGGTGCATAAAATTCAACGAATTAAAGTACGAATTGTTTGAGCATCCACCTTATTCATCAGACTACTAGCTCAGCAGAAACCTGACACAATTCCTTCGTCCATTAAAGAAACTATTACAGCCGCACAAGAGTATTTTGCAGAGCTTTCGGAAAATCATTATAGGGAGGGCATACAATTTCTCGAGGATCATTGAAATAAGTTTAGTTAAGGAAATTAAATTGAATAAAAAGTATATTTCGTACCAAAAACATAATTTTTTCATTTCGAGCGCAGAAACTTTTCAACCAACCTGTACGTGTATCTAAATAAACTAAAAAAAAATTATTCTCTTCATTTCGAAGGGAAGTCTTAAGCCAGTACCAAAATGGGTCACCCCCATTACCCAAACTAAACGAGCTCATTTTCGAAAATTATTAATTCTTCACATGATGATTATTCTCACTGATGTGAATATACAACACATACATATATAAATAGGTAATGGCACCGCCTTGCGCGTGATCCTATTCGACCGAATGCAAAATCGAATGCGTATTTTGTTGCTACTTGTCTGATTAATTGATGCTAAAAGACATAAGCACGTGTATATATATACCATTGCATTTTAATAATATAATATTTAATATATTAGTATATTTTTTATGGTTTATCTCCATCTGAATGTGAACTCTGTAGGGACGAGAATGCCAACACCATTGAACGGTTTATTGCTCGTTCGTATGCACGATTGTCTGACTGTGCTTGAGCAGAGCTGCGCCGCAGACAAAAGCGTAGTGTCCACAAGTGCTGCAATTCAGTTGATATTCATCATTCGTGGACTTCTTTTGCAAATGCAACAATAAAAAAATATAAAATTTAAATTTCGAGATGTTAACGGCAATTCTTGTGTTTATTTGTGCAGTGATATGCCTCTATTTGTCCTATCGCTATGCTGTTGGACGTCCCGAAGGATTTCCACCGGGTTAGTTTTTCATTTCAAATTTTAAGTGCTAAATAATTGAGTTCATCTACGTATGTATTTTTTTTAATTTTTTTTTTTTAATTTTTAGGTCCTCCTCGCATACCCTCCTTCGGCAGTTATTTATTTATGATGATGGCAAATAAAAAATATCTGCATAAAGGTGTATTGAAATTCAGTAAATGGTATAAATCAGATATTGTCGGCTTTCATATTGGCAACTTTCCCGTGGTGGCCGTGCATAGTGCGGAAGGTGTTAGGGAGATTCTGAATAGAAGAGAATTCGATGGTCGTCCACCTATATTTTTGGCGGCAATGCGTGCACCCAAGGATGAGTTATTGGGTAAGTCAAAAGTTCAGCTGTAGAGCATAGAAAAATTAACTCAAAATAATTGATTGCTGGAAAGGCCAATTGGCCAAATTTTTTGTTTGGTAACTTTAAATGATAAATCGAAAAAAAATTAAAAAAAAAAAAAATATTAAACAATATTGAAAGCGATAGTGACCGTAAAAGCCGAGTGGTAAGCAGTGCGTAGTACTACTTTGAAGACCAGTGTTCGATTCCTGGTCCGACCAACATAAAAAATTATAAAAAGTTAATATTCCTGATTACAATCGCACCTCGACAGGGCATGTCATGTCTTCTAGGTGTATTTTTGAGATAAAAAATTTGAAACCATATTATTGAATGAAGAAAAATACATTTTTAATACATTTTAATTGCCGTTAAACAAAACGGGCTTAGAACGCCAAAAAAGGGTGACAGTCCTTGGGCGGATAAAATCAAGGTCAACATCGCGAGTTGAGCTTTGGATCGCGGTTAAAAGAGAGGGAACTTATCCCCTTACCAGTGTTCTCAATAAGGAGATTCGGTGTCAAGTTTACTGGAAAAGGAGCAAGTAAAAGAAGCGCTTAAGGTCCTGCAACCTTTCCTCTGGAGCAACCTTTACCAAGGTTTTAACTTGTCCTTGAGTGACATGTGGAAAATGGGTTGAATGGTGCCGCTACTTAAAGCAGGTAAACCAGCCAAGAAGTGGGAATGTTATTGGCCGATATCTCTCCTTTCACCAGCAGCGAAGACAATTTGCTTAGCTTTGCAGATCCTGTCATCATCTGAGCTCAGCAGCATATCGAGCTTAACCAAAACCGGCAATCTGCACGTCCATCTTGGAAGCACTAGATCTGCCAAAAGCGTTGAACACCGTCAACGTAGTACTGCTATCGGACAATGAGAATACCTTATTACCTTCGTGATTGAAGAGGTGGACTACAGGCTAGTTGAATAGTCAACAGTTTTCGATAAGGTTTCTACTTCAAACTCCTAAACTCTGTAAGGTTAAACAAGAGGTTCCGCAGGGTGGTGTCCCCTCTACGCTTCTGTTTAATTTTTACATCTTCAAGCTCCCCGCCAGAGACAGTTTCATTGGTTTCGCTGCTCGATTTCGGCGCCAGACCTGAATATTCATATCTTATGCTCAAAAGTAAGCTTCTCTATACCCAACATTTCCTACTTCTTCACTACACGACACCTACAACAGTCAAAGCAGTCCAAAAGTCCAAAGTTACTGGGGATAACATTCAACAGCTTGCGACGACGACTTCAAATGCCACAAAAGTCCAGAGCAGCAAAAAGATTCTATCAAATTGTTAGTCGGCAGCCTCTGGTGCAAAATGGCAAAGAAATGCTGCTGGCAACATACAAGATGATTGGTTGCTGAAGACTAGCCAGACGCAGGCGACAACACTATAAGCTTGCTGAAACATCGCTCTTAGGACCGTGACGGAAAATCTCCTTTTGCCACCAAAACAACACTTGCACAGCGACACATCTATGCTATCAGTTAAGGAACATAATGTTATGCTGTAGAAGCACGACATAACTGCAGCGGACATTTACTTGAGGTTGTAGCACCACCTAGGCGCATTAGGAAGGGAGTACATGACTATATTGATTACAATAAGCACCGTATACAAGAACCGCTGCACAGAACGGCGTGCCGATGTGGTTTAAACGTCATTCACCAAGAGCTCGTCAATACCTTAATGAACTGTCTTCACGTAACGCGCGTTCGTGGACCAGCTGCCTAAAGAGACCTGAGTATTATATGCTCAAAAAAACGTCAGGATGTTGTTGTCGACTTAATTTCTACTTATTCAAATTTTACCTGCCTATTCCCAAGGAATACAATGAGGATCCGCACGACACTATCTACTTCTTTGCAAGCCCCCTTAAAGTCTATTCATCGACCCCCCATTTCTTACTGGTCCGAACCCGTCGAAACAACTTGTTTACTGGACCTCTTGTATGTTAGATGATCTCGATGACTTAGCCTTGCTAGGAGTAGGATAGACGCTACATCAACAAAAAAAAAAAAAAAAAACATTTATAAATACAAATTATTGATTTTTAAAAATTTATACCGGTTATTTCAATGTTATAAATTTTTGAAATGTCAACTTCGGGCTAACCGTTTTTAAATTAAAATCAAGTGAGTTTTACTTTCTACACCGCACTAATGAATAAACTCAAAAGCCTATATAATGAGCCTATAGAATGGCTCGAAGATATGTATAAGTTCACACTCGTATATATGTAAATATATTTTAAAATGATATACATATATATTGCTGTGTAACCCTCACAAAATTGGAGCACTTAAGTAGAAAAATCAGTTTTCATATTAGTTTTCAATTGTTTAATCAATTAATATTAAAAAGCGATTCAACTTTTTCTCGGAAGGAGTAAAAAAAATTGCCAAAGAATGATTTTTAGTTGGAATTACTTTGAGTCTAAAGTACATGTCTATTGGAAAACAATGCCAATGGAATGATTAATGATGACAGAGGAATGATAGCAAGAAAAATAAATTTATGTTTGTATTACATAAATATATACTTATTTCCTAATCAAATACATGTATATACTGAACCATGTTTGTAAATGAAGAATTTATACATTCTTAAATATCAACTATAATTATCGATTTGCATACATTTATGCACTTACTTATACATATGCTTGTATAATGTACTATTAAGTAACACTGAAATGTTAAAATTTTTTCTAACGGTTGTAACGTCAACACACTCACACACAATATAATACACATAACGTACCAAGGAGTTACATATATGTATACGACTAAAAATATATATATATAAATTTATAATACAATCAAAACTATGCTTATAAATATTACTTACATATTTATTTTTCGGCATCAACTATTTTCCAGGCATCTTTTTCCGCGAAGGTCCTGTTTGGAAAGAGCAACGTCGATTTATTTTACGTTATCTCCGTGATTTCGGTTTTGGTCGTCGTTTTGAAGAACTTGAATTGGCAATAAAAGAAGAAATAACTGACCTTTTAGATCTAATTCGTAATGGGCCACGTTATCCACACGAACATGAATTATGTAAAACTGGTGGCTATAGAGTTTATGTACCAAATCTTTTTAGTCCATTCACATATAATTCGTTCTTTCACATTATGATGAATGAGCGACGACCACGTTCAGAGCAGGCTGAGGTATTGCAACTAATTAAAATGGGAATGCAATTTCAACGTAACGGTGATGATTATGGAAAAATGCTATCTGTTATGCCTTGGATAAGATACGTTTTTCCGAAGACCAGCTGCTATGATGTATTAACAGAATCCAATAAATTCCTTTTCGAATATTTTGGAAAAATTGTTGATCAGCACATTGCCACATTTGATGAATCAAGTGAGCGTAACTTTCTGGATTTATATATAAAACAAATGCGCGAGGAGCATGATGCGGGCCAAACAGATGTATACTATCGCGCGCAATTCATAATGGGTTTAGTGGACTTCGCTTTTCCAGCATTTACAGCGATTGGCGTACAAGTTACATTTCTCATACAATACTTGCTGCTCTATCCGGAAGTGACGAAACGCATACAAGCGGAAATAGATAATGTTGTTGGTAGAGGCCGTTTGCCCACACTAGAGGATAGAAAGAGTTTACATTACACTGAAGCTGCAATACGTGAGGGTTTGAGAATTGAAACTTTGGTGCCATCGGATGTACCCCATAGAGCCATGGAAGATACTGAATTGCTGGGCTACAAAATTCCGAAGGTAAGAATTTATTTTTTTATTTTTTAATTTGTATAAAACATTGTACAAAATATTATATTTAATATAGCATACCATTGTTGTGCCCAGCTTGTATGCTTATCATGCTGATGAACGTGTTTGGGGTGATCCCCAAAAATTTAGGCCGGAACGCTTTCTGGATGAGAACCGGAAGTTATCATTGAAAAAAGATGTCTCACTTCCTTTCGGTGCTGGTGAGAAATTTTAATTCGTTGCAAAAGTAAGGAAACTATTTTATTGAATTTTAACCAATTTTAGGAAAACGACTTTGCGCTGGCGAAACGTTTGCACGAAATATGCTGTTTTTATTGACCACATCACTTTGTCAAAATTTTAATTTTGTTTTAGCGCCAGGAGATATGTTGCCGGATCTTTCGAAAAATTTGAACGGTTTAATAACAACACCATATGACTTTTGGCTACAGCTGGAGGAAAGGATATAAAACTTAATATATTTTGTATGTCTTAAGCGTTATAAATTTTACATTAATGGAATAAAAAACCAAAATACTTGTTTGTACAATTAACAGAATAAATATGCAGAGTATAAGTTTCTAAAATTTTACATTCTTTGCATGATTAGGATTTTCTTTGCCATTTGCTTTATGTTGTCGTTAGAATTTTACTGCAAAAATCATAGTACGCAAAAGGAGTTTCCATGAACATTTCTTGAAATTCTATATTTGCCATTGGTTTGCATTTCTCATCGGGGTGACTATTCTGAATATATTTATTTTACTAAGAAGAAGAAAGCAAGCAGATTAAACGGAAACTTGATTTGTTTCATGTTTGATTTATATTTGATGTCCTAGTTTATATTCGATTTAATAACAATGAGTGGAAAAGGTTCTATTCCAAAAACATTATCCAAGAAATTGTCCGATAAAATACGTGTTGGGCAAATTGTCAAAGTGCAAGTGAGCATACCAAATTTGAATCTTTGCTCTTTTTTAATTTCATTATGGTTTTCAGGATATCGAAGATACTTTGGGCGCATCACTTTTTTCACCTGTTCAAACTCGTCAGCAGCGAAAGATCAATAAAACACAACTCAAAAAATTAATCGAACCAAATAAACTTGAAAGCGCAGACAACACAAAGAAAAAAGTGTTTGAACCCGTAGCTACTAAGACAGATAGCAAACTGAAAGACATTGGTGTAAAACAAGGTAGCTTGGTTGACAATATCAAAGACGCTGCCGATAAATCAGTGTTAAATGCAATTGATCAACCGAAAGGTTCAGTTAAATGGGAACCAGAAAATTGGCGCTTAATTTTACAAAATATTAGAAAAATGCGGTCAGATGCTAAAGCGCCTGTCGACACCATGGGATGTCATAAATGCTCTGACGATGAAGCAGACGAAAAAGTAAAATTAAATTTGAATATTTATTCAATGCTATTAAACTTAAAATATCTTTAACACAGACGCAACGCTTTCAAAAGTTAGTCGCACTAATGTTATCCAGTCAGACCAAAGACGAAGTTACTTTTGAAGCTATGCAACGCTTAAAGAGTAATCATATGACACCGCAAGCTATATTAGATACAGAAAGAAGCAAACTGGAGGAATTACTGAAACCTGTTTCATTTTATAAAGTACATTTTTAAATTAATTGTTTCAGAAATTCAGAAGTTTTATTGTGCTAATTTCTAGAACAAAGCCAAATATTTGCAACTTGCATCGAAAATACTCGTGGAGAAATACGATAGTGACATTCCTAGCAACATAAAAGAGCTCGAAGCTTTGCCAGGCGTTGGTCCTAAAATGGCGCATATTTGTATGGCGACAGCTTGGAACGAAGTAACAGGAATAGGTGTAGATGTACATGTGCATCGCATCACAAATCGTTTGAAGTGGCTACAAAAGCCCACCAAAGAACCCGAACAAACCCGTGTTCATTTGGAATCATGGCTACCACGCGATATGTGGCAAGAAGTAAACCATTTACTTGTTGGCTTTGGCCAAACAGTCTGCAAAGCTGTTCGTCCGAATTGTGCTGAATGTTTAAATCGTGAAATATGCCCCTCAACGGAATATAAAGTGAAGGGTAAGAAAAAAATTGATACAGAAATTGACATCAAAAATGTAGACCAATCGGCTCCCAAAATATCTAAGCCGCAAAAACAAAAGATCATGTAATACATAATATAATATTGTAATAATGTTAATGGTGGATTCGCTTTATATTTAAGTACACGATTATTTTTTATATAATTTTTTTTTTTTTTTTGTATAATTAATTTTGAAATAAAACGCAAGTGTTAGTGGTTTGAATTTATTTAATTATTGTTAAATTCATTATACAAAGAAATGAAAATGCAGCGAGTTATTGTAAATGATTCATTGAATGTTGTAAAATTAATCTCACAGCTTCAACGAACTAGATTTTGATTGCGTTAATGTTTAAATGCTACGAAAGTTTTATATTCTATATTACTACTCGACGTTTGGCTTAATCCAAACATACATCGATTACTTTCTATTTTTGTTTAGTTTCCTGATCTGTTACATAACGGACATATATTACCGGATTAGGTACGTTAGCTGGCGGTTCTTCGAATTCGTCCATATATGAGCAGGCTATAGCCAGTGTGCTGCCGTCATGGCTGAAGTTGAGTGATGATATAGATGTGTCATATTGATGGAATTGACAAAGACGTTTCTTATTAAAACCATCCCATATATTCACTAAACAATCAGAACCGCCCGTTGCAAAGGTATTATACACATTATGAAAACTAATCGCGTTTACGGGGTAAATATGCTCGATGCTATCTTCTTTGTTGCGATGGCACTTGAAAGCAAATTTGCGCTTTTGAACTTCTGGATCAGGATCTAAATATTCAACGGCAACACGTCCCTCAATGGAAGACATCACATAGCCTTCCTTATTGGGGAATAGTCGTATGCACCTTGTTTGATATTTAAGCGATGACTCACGTTTCATCATATATTCCTCCATTTTGCGCAAATCCCAAATGAGAACTTTTCGATCCGAAGTAGCCACAACTATTTTTTCATCATTCACAGACATCGAATATACTTTGCCATTGCTTTGTTCGTACGTGCCCACACAGCGACTTTCGCGCATATCCCACAGTTTAATCGTTTTATCCCAACTGCCAGTCAATATACCATTAACAGATTCTGCATACTCCACACAACGCACAGCGTCATCGTGCGAACCAACAATGGTTTCAGTGTGTGTATTGACATCATACAAGCGCAGTTGTTTATCAAGAGATCCACTTACTACATGTACAATATCCTTTAATTACAAGTGAATAAAACAATAAAGATGGGTATATGTAGTTATAAAATGTGTCAAAATCTCTTACCATGAAGGCTACATCCATTACAGGCATATCCTCCACAAACTTCTGTCGCATGGCATTATTGACAACATCGTAAAAGCGCACAGTGCCATCCCAGGCAGACGCAATGAGATACTGATTTGTTTTCGGTCCAAATTTTACCGCCGATATAGCATCTTCTGGGCAATTATTTAATTTTACCTCTGTCGGTCGCATATCCTTTATTAATATTACTTTTTATTTATTTTTGCTTTAAATGTTTTAGCTAAATTTCGACCGGCGCAAAATGCTATACGTTTATCTTCTTCTACTGAAACTCAGTCACAATAGACGCAACAGTTTGTTTTAAATAAATTGTTGTTAGAGTTGTAGCAAAGAACGTATATTAATATTAATTAATATTAATATACGTTCTTTGGTTGTAGCGTTCGCCCATTTTCACAGTGCTGCCAGCCAAACCAAATGAAACAAGGTGATGCATAAACAATGGAAAATTTCTTGATTATAATTATGGCAGTTTTATAATAAAATTGAGCCACAAAAATATTATAGTAAAAAAACTGCATCTTAAAAAAGGCAAAGAGGTTTTTGTGAACCTGAATTTATTTTTTATGATACAAATTAAACGTTGTGACTTTTATTGCAGCATACTTTCAGGCCTTCTTTATATCCGCCGACTTCTTCCTGGCGCAAAGAACTTATAATAATTATAAATTTTCTGCTGGCGGTAAAAGAAAAAGGAAAAGTGATGAATTTGCATCGGTTTGTAAGAAATAGATTGATAATTGAACATAAAACTATCAACACATGAATCCTAATATTAGCAAATAATGAAATAAATTTATATTATAACCGAAATGTTTCTGTTTAATTTTACTAAAACCAGCGACTCAAAGAAAATATCGAGGAATATATACAAACCTATGTATGTATTTTTTCTAAGGCTTACGCTTCGTGAGGTTAGGCGAAGTCACTTGCCTACGCAGACAAGCCCGAGACGATTGACACCTTGGAAGAGAATAATCAGCAAGTTACTTTTGGCATACAGCCCTGTTTGTTACAAAAATGAGTCGAAAATTAGATAACTCGGCTGGAATTTATTCGAGCCAGTCGTAGCGTTCACTTGTCCAGAATCTGTTTTAAATCATGACAGACTCTTTATAATAAAGCTAAATTCTGGGCCATAACACTGAACTACATGCGTTTTATTTGTTCTTGAAAACGACATGTCTGAAAAAAAACACCCTTTATATGCAAAAGCACTAAACTATGACGACTTATATAGCTGGGTAATAATAAATTTGCATTTACAGTTAGATATTCATTTATTCTCTGGAAAAAAATAACACCAAAGTCTAAAAACTACAGTTAATTTAACCCACTACATCTATAAATATTTAAATTGACACATTTATAATACCTAAACTAACGAGATTAAATTCACAATAAATATATATGTATGTATTTATATACTAGGATATCTGTAACATATGTATGTACTCGTATTTATATAACTTTCTTTATATATATTTATATATATGTGTGTGTAGTTAATACTTTATGATATTTTACTTATATAATATATTCACCATATGTATGTAGGTATGTAAGTATGTATGTAAATATGCATGTTGTATGTTTAGTTGTATATGTTAAAGTAAAGTAACGTTGTATCTTCACGAAAATCTGTCCCGATAGTTATAGTTAAAGGTACAATGGAAGTTTTCTCTTTGGTTTACGTTTATTCTTCTTCTTCTTCTTCGTTTGTTATTATTTTACTTTTCTTTGTTTTTTTTTTTTTTTTTTTTTGGTGGTGACTGTTCGACTTAGGCGTATGAAAATTTTAATTGCTTTCACAACTTGAGCTACACTTTTGATGGAGCGCAAACTTCTGGGTAACTGATCAGTCTTTTATTGTTTTGACGCCGCCTTGACCTTTGTGCGACGGCTTGCCGCTTTCCGCCAACTTCCTGAATTCCGGTAGATCTTTGGCAGTGCTGAATGCGATCGCGAATTGAGCAGTATAATATGTAGACATGATGATGAGCTGTTGGCGGTATACAAGAAGTCAAAAGATATTAATATTTTGGCTTTTAATCCAATTTACAACATTCGTCACTTACTCGGGAAAAGGGCACTGTTACAAAGAACATGGTAATACCGATAACCAGATCGGAAAGAAGAAAGAGTACTGCGCCTGCAGCGCATAATGTATTCAAGCAGCTGGAGTCATGCAGTGCACATGCCAGTGCGCGCCAACAGGTAGTAGTTAAGAGGGCAGCATATAAGGGAACACCAATAGCAAGTACTGCGTCGAGTCGGTTGAGGACCACAGAAATAACTGTAAAGACATAAAAGCTATGAATAAAAAATATGTTTAAGAAAAATATATATATATATTAATACGAAGACAGTTTTATGAGTCTGGGACTTTTTGGTATTCGCGCAGTGACTTTCAATGCAAAGGCGTCACCTATCAATGGACTGCTGTGTTTGGGCACGGCGCAGTTGTTTGATGGCTTTTGAGGGCAGACAAAAGGGTAAATGCTGATTAAAGGCTTGATAAAAATTATGAGGACTCTGCACCATAAGCTTTAATGGTAACGAAGTGGCTGACTGAGTTTCATTGATGTCGTAACAACACGATGGACGCCGAACAGGTTGTCCATGGTGGTGGGCGCAACAGAAATCACCGATAAACTCCATAGAAAAAAAAGTACGCCAAATAACTGTTTATTTTGGTGTTTGCCCAAGCGCTCCGATGGATACTGAAGTAGGTATTGAGGTAGAAGATGGCTAAATAGAACAGACAGTTTCTCTTATGAGTCCCTGGTCAAATGGGCATCGAGAGAAAATGTGAAACGGATAAATTTGCTAGGCAAAGCACGACCAAGCAGAATTCTTCTCAAAAAGTTCGCATTGGTATGCCTTTGACACATGCAATCTGCGTCTCAAAAATTGAGTCAGCCCAGTCAAGGTGGAACGAGACTTCAATCTGTCGCAAATCCATGTTCACCCGGCCAAAAAGAGATCACGAGATATGTAATCCTTAAACGAAAAGAGAAAGACCCTTGACACGCTTTCGTCTGATATTACGACATGCGCAGAGACTAAAGGCTCCTTGCTGCAGAAGCTGTAAGGATGATGATGAGCTAAAAATTATCTCTTATCCTTATACCACTAACCTCCTTTAGGCAGTGCTCGATTTCAGAATTTTGGGATGTTGTTGTTGTAACCGCAAAGTACTTTTGGGGAATGTTGCGGGAGTGACAGTCCTTGGCCGGATAAAAATCCGGGTCGTTCCGGTATAAAGACCCGACTGTCGCGGGAACTATTGGATTTTAGTCGCCTCTTACGGCAGTCATGCCTTACCGCGGGTAAATTCTTGAGCCCCTAACCCGCAGGGAGAGAATTTTGGGATCCTACGGTACGGTCAGTATGACACGGGAAGAGATTTTAGTAAAAACTTTTTTAGAAAACCACGAGGCATTAAAAAATAAGAATGTTAATTTCACGAATAGTAGACGCCTCCCGGCTGGAAATGTCAAGCTCTCCGAGCGTATTTCTGACATAAAATAAAAGCTCCTCACAAAAATTCATCAGCCGTTCCTCCTTCCGACCGCTGGCTTTTTGGACGGATGCTAAACTATTTGGGAGGTCGTCCGTTCGGGTGAAAAATGGTTCAATAATTGGATCGAAGACAGAGAAGACTCACTGCTTACCAGGGAGATTGGAAAAAGTCGTTCACAGTGCGCCACAAAATTACGATACTTACCCACAACAAGACAAATATATAACGCCACACCGACTGGTAATTTTAAGGGCTTCCAACCAAACGCTGATATGTACCAGATATGACCGATAGCAAATGCACCCATTCCATGCAGGAAGAGATTAATATTGAGCAACGCATCACCGATGCATGAGCAAATTAAGCCGAGCAGTATGCGTTGGGAGTATCTGTAGCTACAAGTGTGAATATAAGAAGTAAAACAAAAAGAAAATTAAAAAAGAGAAAAATAGAAATAATCTTTGAAGCCGCCACAAACTTACGCCGTTGTTAGAGCGAACCCTTTTGCAACAACATACAGCATTAGCATCACAATGGGTAGGCATTTTAACACCGTTGTCCACAGTTCGCCTTTGGGATTGTGTACGAAGGCAAAGTAAACAACAACAGCATTGAAGAAAGGCGTTAATTTCAATATTTGTGATTTTAGCTGGAAAAAAATTAAATTAAAATAAAATTATTGCATTAATTTTTAATTTGATTTATAACGGTAATAAAAACTAAACTGCAAAGCTCTTCGAAAACAAGCAAACAGTCATTTGTATCATTGTGTTCATGATGTACGATTAGATTAACTAAATGGTTGGATTTTAGTATTAAGATTTCCATTGGAGTGAAGTCCATGGATTAGCAAAAAAACAACAAATGTAAAATAATATACATATAGTGAAATAATAATCTATTTGTGAATACCGTGAGAATAATGCAAGAGCAATAAATGTTGCAATTTTGATTATATAAAAATGTATATTTATATTTGTATATTTGTATATATTTATATATAACTGCACAATTGGCCTACAGTTCATCTGAAGCCCCCTCTAGCCTTGACATTCCCTGCGTGGAGACAACCACAAATAGAAACATTATTATTATATTTTTTAGAATAATTTTCTGTAATTTTTTTATTTATAATTATTATTTTTTTTTATTTTCTTTGTTTTTTTTTAAGTAAGAATTTTTTTTCAACTTTATTTGGCACCCAATTGCGAAGTAAGAAAATAAGAAATTATACAAATCGAACTTTATTTTAACTGGATATGCGAGCTTATACAGGGTTATTCATTTTAGAGTTTCGAAATAAAATGCGTTTAGAATAATTATTATTCACAAAATTAATTTTTTATTATGAAGGCTGATCCTTGGCGTTAGACGAATATGTGAGCTCAAAAGACTGTCTCGTGAATTTTTGCAAGCTTCGATCCGTTTGAAATAATTTTCGACCACTTTTCGTCATTTTCGGTGGTATCTCAGGCATAACTTGACGAATGCTGGTTTTTAAGTGCTCAAGGGCTAAAGATTTATCTGCATAAACAAGATCTTGTGTTTCGCTAAGATAAGAGATTACGTGACCGGGAAATATTTCTCGCAATAAAGCCATATTCGTTCGCGTTATGTGGATTATGGCACCATCTTGGTGAAATGATTTAGTGTTAATGTTGTATTCTTCAATTGGAGGCCCAAAAAAAAAAGTCTGCCATCATAAAAGGTCACACTTTTGGGGCAAAGTTAGGCTCTCTCTCTTCTCGGAGTCCCAAACGCGACAAGTCTGTTTATTTAGTGGGAAATGAGTCTCGTCGCTGGCTTCCTTTGTTGTGTGAGCTGTACTTTATATGGATGTAGGTAGGTAAGTTCAAGTACAAAATACTTTGTTGTTGTTGTTGTGGCGGTTCGCTAACCCCGCTTAGGCACAGGTTTGAACAGTCTAAGTCGTCGAGGTCATCTAGTGGTAGGTCCAGGAAACGAGCTGTTTCGACGGGGTTGGACCAAAGGGAGAGGGGGGTTAGATGAGTGGGTTTGAGGGGGCATGTAAAGAGGTGGTTAGTGTGGTGCGGGGACTCTCCACATGCAGGGCATACGTTGGGAATGCTGGGGACTAGTCTGGATAGGTAAGAGTTTAACCTGCTACAATTTCCAGACCTGAGTTGTGTCAGGGTCACGCGGGTCTCCCGAGGCAGCTCGAGCTCGTTGTCTGCTATGGGTGGTGGTATTTCTCCGAGTGCGCCATTCACTGGAAGGGAGTCCTTGAAGGTGCTGACTGACTCCTGGTGAATGGCGTTCAGTGCTTGTCGGTACGCCGTCCTGTCCAGCGGTAGTTATATGTGTTGCTGGATTGTGTCCTTTAAATCTAGTACTCCCTTTCTGATGTGCCTAGGTGGACGTTCAGCCTCATAAGGTGCCGTAAGAAAGTGCCAGCTCTCGAGGACGTCGCAAAATATTTAGATACATTCGGATCTTCGTCTACACCTTCACTCACAGTGGGAGATATTTGAGATGGAACGAGAAAAACGCGGATTCTCAGACTTTACAATAGCAGTCTCTTCAAATTTCTTAACGTACGGATATAAGAACATATCATTTTGTGCCAAGTTAGGACTATACTGTGGATGACTCATCAAATCGATCTTTTGAGTGCAAAAAAGCGGTTTTTCAGTCGATTTGTGAGAGTTGTCATTGTCGTGGTGAAGAGTGCTTCATCTTCATCGGTTGGTTTTCCTGATGCTATAAAAGATAACTGATTTTACTGGACTTGTTGTTCTACCAATTCCTTTGAAGTGTTTCGAGCGTGAAAAATAGATTTCGGCTCATCTTTAAACACCCATACTGACGACTGCTGTCAGCTATCGTGCTCTCATGCGCAAATCCACGATACATCACCTGCTTCGAAGCACCACTATCGTATATTTTTAACATTTCTCTCGACGAGCATTCTTTTTGAGTGATCGACAATCGACGTGCACAAATTTGAAGTTACTGTAAACAACACAAATAGCGCTCGTACGAGTATGTCGAAGCGTTCTGAATATGTATAACATCAAAAAGTCAGATTTGACTATAAAGCTTTCAGTTGCCAGATTGCAGCCCTCGTATATATGTATGTATAATTGACACTTTGTAACCGCTGACGTTTAGCGCTACAATTTATCCGCTTTAATGGCCGCTAAGCTTGAAGGCAAAATAAGTGCCCAATCCAACGCCATTTCAGTCAGCCAGCAATGCAATCGCAAATCAAACTCACTTTCGAATCGGAAATGAGAGTAATCAAAAAAGCGCGCACTCACCTGTCACTCACTGCGAGAAATTATCATGAAAGCTGCTCGTTAAGTTAGTTAATGCAAAGTAATTGCATCAATTGTTTGTGGAATTGCCAAGCGATCTACTGCAAATTACAAATTAGCAACATTTCGTTGAGTAAAATGTTTTGCGACGGTGGAAATGCGTAATGACTCTGGAGAGCACGTATACAAATGTGATTACATACATAACATACAAACGTTTCTTTGAAAATATAAATATAATTTATGTACTTATGTACTCGTATAAATTCTTACCCTCCTAATGTACATACATATTTTTACTTACATATGTATATGTATATGCATATATTTCTTTACTTTTATTTTCCCGAAGTGAATTTGTGGAGCCAATTTACAAAAAATGCTTCCTTAACCCTTGATGAGTTTTCGAAATTTGGTAAATATCATTTATGTACATACATACACACTTATGTACACATATATATATATGCCCGAATTTATACAAAAGTGTGTTAGGTAACCGATATCGTTTGAGTAACTTTTACTTTCACTTGCTCTCATTTAGCTGAGCGAAAGCTTTGTCCTTGGGCAGCATCATTCTCTGCAAAGTTGAAAAAATAGCAACAAACAAGATAAATGGGAGAGAAAAATGTGATACAGGCGTAAAAGCCACATATAAAGAGTGTGTTAGTTATACTTTTTAGAGCAAAAAGATGTAAAAATCCGTACCTACACACAAGGTCAAGGACACTAAAAACGTAGGTACAGATAAAAAACATTGAAGGCAGATAAGTGAAATATAATGCATATAATTGCAAACAAAATAAAAATATAAAAGACGTAATATAAAATAAAATAAAATACAATAAAATGAAACAAAACAAAATGAAATAAAATTAAATAGAATAAAATAAAATAAAATAAAATAAAATAAAATAAAATAAAATAAAATAAAATAAAATAAAATAAAATAAAATAAAATAAAATAAAATAAAATAAAATAAAATAAAATAAAATAAAATAATATAATATAAAATAAAATCAAATAAAATAAAGTAAAATAATATAAAAAAAAAAAATAAAATAAAATAAAAAAAAAATAAAATATGACTAATTGAAGTGAAATAAAATAAAATATATTTAAAATTAGCAAAAAAAATTAAATTAATTAAAACTTAATAAATTAAATTGTACATATTAAGTTAAAAAAGTATAATTAAATCAAATAAATTATTTATTTAAAAAAAAAAATTAAGTAAAATTATATATGAAAATAACATTTGAAGTCTTTGTGTTATAATGCACACAAGTACTTTGTTTACTGAATCAGAAGTACTTCAACAGCTTAACTAAAACTGAATAGAAATCGCGCTGAGTAATATACAAGTATAATAATATATACACAAAGGCATACATATACATATGTATATATGTAAGATATAAAAGGAGCTGAACTGACTTTCGGCCGAGCTCATTCCCAGCACAAGTTGTCTTAAAGTTCTTCCAACAAAAGAAGAGCTACGGGGTTGTTGGAACAAAATTTTATAGTTAATTTCAGAAATACACTTGGATGGTTTCACATTCTCTGTGGAGGAGCGAACGCAATTAGATAAACGATTAGTAAAGTTTTTTTATGTTAGACTGATCAGATTAGATTTCGAACCTGCAACCTTCTACATGATAGCAAGTAAAACTTTTTACGCAGCTAATTCGATCATATTAAATAATACTTAAATTAAATGTCAAATATAACTTATACCAACAACAATGGTACAATTACGAATGGCTCAGCAAATTTATTACTACTCAATGTTTTGTGAAATATAAATAGTACATTTGTATGTATGCACATACATATGCCGGTAAGTGGAGAAGATGGCACGTCACTGCGCATTAAGATTTATGCGAAATCACACGCGATAAACTCACTACAATTTGCACAGCGTCAAATAAATTTACTAAACGAAAAAATATATTTACCTCAAAGTTCCTAAGCACTTCACAAAGCTCATTTGCATAGTAACGAGACTAGATGCAGATATTCAAATATACTATAGTATACTATAAATGTGCTCAACAATCATGGAAATGCATACACACACAGCCGTAGCAGGTACTCCATATAAAGTGCCGTGATGAGAATATCAACAAATCCAACCGAGGCAGGCATCCATCATAATAAATAATTGCGTATACGCAGTGATACATAGTTTAAGATAGACCCTCTCTTCTTGTTGCGCGTTTAGTAGTGCTGTGTGGTGCAGCGTGGGTTGTCTATGGCAAAACAGCAAAGCAAAAAGACTCAAAGCTTCAAAGGTGATTCTGTTCAAGTGCATGTGCACTCTTAAGTATATGTGCTGGATGGAATAAGGGGCAAACAGCGAGAAAACTATCAAGCAAGACGTTATCTAAGCAATCTAGTAAGTACATTGGCGTTTGCTCGAATAAATTCCAGCCGAGAGGCATAGTTTTCGAACACTTTTTGGCCGCAGTAGTCAGCAATAATGCACCGAATATTATTAATTAACACCTCAATCCCCAGGCTCATCTGCGACTTCACATAACCTCACTAAAAATAGTAAAGTAGCGTTTAATTGCACGATTTTAGAGGTTTCTTTAACACATTGATTACTTCATCGGGTGTATGGCAAGTATCGCCATTTTGTTGACGTCGAAAGTCGTCCCATAAACATCCGCCATTATGGTCGGCTTTATTTTTAAAGGAACATGGGCTGATGATTCCCTCAGCCCATAGAACACACCATACAGTAACATATCCACTCAAACTCTAGATTATCATCACTCTAGATGTGGCAATTGGGTTTATTAACGAACCCATTGGCAAAGATGAGCTCCAGCGCCGACAAAAATTTTCTTGGGAAAATCGTGATGGTCGTTTTGCCTCAATTCTTGCACGAGTGGGATTTTGTAAGCTCACATACCAAGATCCATACGCATAATCTTCCATAAAGTGGTCTCATTTGGTTCTTCTTCGATACCCTGCGTCTACGATGCGCACTCATGGATGCGCGGGCTTGAGGATATGCATTATCTACTAGAGTAATAGTGATGCGAAACCGATCCATGGTTTTACTATGAAATGGCAAACCGAACTGAGTATAAATCTATTGGGTTGCCCAAAAAGTAATTGCGGATTTTTCATATAGTCGGCGTTGACAAATTTTTTCAACGACTTGTGATTCTGTGATTGCGTTCTTTCTTCTGTCAGTTATCAGCTGTTACTTTTAGCTTGCTTTAGAAAAAAAGTGCGCGAAATTTTGTTTACATTTGTTTGTTTGGCGTCAATTTTAATATGGAGCCCACAAAGGAGCATTTTCGTCATATTTTACTTTATTATTTCCGTAAAGGAAAAAACGCGGAGCAGGTTGCTAAAAAGTTACGAGATGTGTATGGTGATGAAGCCTTATAAGGAAGACAGTGTCGAAATTGGTTTCGCAAATTCCGTTCTGTAGAGTTTTCACTTAAAGATGAGCCACGTTCAGGTCGGCCAAATGAAGTTGATGATGACCAAATTAAAGCATTAATCGAATTGGATCGTCATGTGACTGAGCGTGAGATAGGAGAGAAGTTAAATATACCAAAATCAACCGTTTATTATCACATAAAAAGTCTTGGACTGGTGAAAAAGCTTGATATTTGGGTACCACATGTATTGAAAGAGATTCATTTAACACACCGAATCAATCAAAAATGGATTGTTTACAACAACGTTAGTCGAAAACGATCATGGTCCAAGCATGGTGAACCAGCTCAAATTACTTCAAAGGCTGATATCCACCAAAAGAAGGTTATGCTGTCTGTTTGGTGGGATTGGAATGGTGTCGTATATTTTGAGCTGCTTCCAAGGAACCAAACGATTAATTCGGATGTTTACTGTCAACAATTGGACAAATTGAATACAGCCATCAAGGAGAAGCGACCAGAACTGGTCAATCGTAAAGGTGTCATATTCCACCAGGACAACGCTAGACCGCACACATCTTTGGTCACTCGCCAAAAACTGAGTGAGCTTGGCTGGGAACTTTTGATGCATCCACCATATAGCCCTGACCTTGCACCATCAGACTACCATTTATTTCGATCTTTGCAGAACTCCTTCAATGGTTAAACTTTCGGCAATGATGAGGCTATAAAATCGCACTTGGTTCAGTTTTTTGCAGATAAAGGCTAGAAGTTCTATGAGCGTGGAATACTAAATTTGCCAGGAAGATGGCAAAAGGTTTTCGAACAAAATGGCAATTATATATTTGATTAAAGTTCATTCTAAGTTTTATTAAAAATGCATTTACTTTCTTTTAAAAAATCCGCAAATACTTTTTGGGCAACCAATAGTAACAGCTATCAAAAAGAGCAATTTCGAAAAAAGGATTGCCTCATTAAAAACCACACTCCTAAAAAAGCTATGCTTTACAGGGAAACTGGTGGAATATTCTTCGTTTAAATGATTTAATACGAGTTGATGGAATTCTTCGGTTAAATTTTTCTTTTCAATATTCCTCTTCCTATTCTTGATACTCCGATTTCTCAATAAATTTGCTTAACTTTTCTGTGTTTTCTGAAAACATCTTTGATTTTTTAAATTTCGGAACCGATAATAATCCATTGGATACAGATATAGACTGTGGGCTTACGGAACCAACGAATCGATGTATGCTTTTGCAAGATAGCCAATGTAACTCTACAGCCGTTAATAGCCAGAGAGGAGTACGAAAACTTTTTAAAATTTTTTATGCATTTATAATGAAAACCCATCAACTGAACTAAATGCATATCTTTAAGTAAATCAGTCTAACAGTTTAGCACTCACATTTGGTGTCCTCGTAAATATGCTTTTTATACACAAAAACAAACGTATGTGCCTACATTTGTATATACACGTATGTATGTTTCTTAGCTCACATATGGAGAAGGGCGGACATAACTGTCCGTGTTTGGCAAGCGAAACCGTTCAATATAGTAAATTGCTTTTTGGACTGTGCCACCGAATGCTTATGCATATGAGTGCTTGTATATATGTATGTATGTACATACGTGTAAATATGTATGTATGCATATTATTGAGTGGCTAATGCGTCAATTTAGGGAAAGCAGTTGTTCGCTGTCCGAGGCAATTAGTCCATGGACGCCAAGTACATTTGTACATATGTGCATATTAAGAAAAACATATGTCCACATGGCATGTATCCATATGTATATATGTACTTACATACATACGTACATATGTATATATATGCATTTTTATGTGATTGCTGGCTTGTGCAACGGCGCATACCTGCACATGTGGCGGATGAAAACTTACAAGATGCATTGTATCAGCCATGATGGCGCCTAGGCCTTTTAGGCTCGCTACAATTTCGATAAGCTGTAAACTTTTTATGTTTTTATTTTCTTCGTTGTTGCGCAAGTGTCAAGCGTTTTATTTACAAGCAATTCTGTTTTTCACGATTTTCGCAACATTTATGCCGTAACTTTGTTGTTCTTAACTCCCGTCCGTTACTCAAGTGCTGGCACATTGTTTAGGTGGGTTTAGTTGTATTTACTTTTCCATTTGTTTATGTTTTTTTGTTTTTCTAACACCGTCGTCACCATGTAAATAATTAAATTTACAACAAACTCAACTTTTTGTTTGAGTTTATTAATACATATGGATTTTTGATTTCTCTAAACAAAAGCAATGAATGCGTCGCGTGTGCGAGAACAAAGAAAGCAAGCAAACGCACATAAATATTATACCGAAAAAAGTTATTCACTCAAAACGTTTAGCCGCCCCACCGACGTGCGCCTTATAGCGGAGTTCAATTAAAACTGAAACGTGCGAAAAGCCACTGAGTATCTCCAAGCTCGCCAAAATAGATGAGCGCCAACGCGTACCGTGTCTTTCACTTGAGTACCCACAAACATACATACATACATATGTATTGTACATACACTGCACTCAGCGAGACAAAAACATAAAAACAGAAAAGAAAACAAAAAACAAAAACGATAAACCTCAACGCCACTGTAGATGCCGACGCTGAAATCAGAGCGCAAACGATGATAAGCGAAAACCGTAAAAGGTAGAAAACGAAATCAACTGGCGTGCAGGTCGTTTTTCGATTAAGCAACTGGGATTTGGAGCTTTCCCGCTCGTACATGTTGTTATTGCATTACTTTTTGGACAAAGGGTTGTCCGAAAATCTATATATACATATGTAAATCTTACGTTCGTTTGTTTGTGTGGTTGTTTGAATGTTTCGTGGGTAATGGATCTGGTACCGACCTATTCGAAAATGCATTATTTATGGTGCGATTTATTTGAAATTCGGTTGGTATGCAAACGTTTCTTTTTTGCTTTGATTAATAGGAATACTACTCTCCTCTCCGGTGAATGAAGCGGTGACTGACCTATTCAAAAAAATCGTATTTATGGTCGATTTGCTTGAAATTCAGTACACCAGTGGCTTCTTTGCTTGAAGTCCTTTTCTCACGTGCAGTTGATCGGTCTGTCGAAAATCATTGACTTTGACCACCGTGCGAGCAATGCTCCGATTGCCCAGGAGCAAAAACCAGTTTACTACCACTTGAAAAAAACAGCATAAACAAAGAAGCTCGTTGTAGGGGGGCCATAGGAGTTAACGAGAAAAAAGCACATTGACCGCATTTCCATCTGCAAATCACAGCTGAGCCGTTGCCAAATTTATATATTCCTGAAGCAGATGGTGACTGGTGATGAGAATTGGACCCCTTACAGCAACGTCAAATGAAAATGGTTGTAGTCTAAAGAGCAATGAGCCGGCTCTAACAGTCTCCAAGCCAGGATTGATGCCCATTCACTATGAGCTGCTGCTCTCTTATCACCGAACTCTTAATTCGAATCGGAACCCTCAGCAATTAGATCGTCTGAAGAAAGCAATCACCCAGAAGTGTTCAACTTTGGCCAAGAGGAGGGAAATTGTGCTTTTTGGGACAAAGCCAGACCACAAACTTTGATAGAGACTCGCCAGAAAATCAGAAAACATGGTTGGGAGGAGGTTCTCATGCATCAACTTTATGGTGCGGACCTCGCATCAAGTGATTACTATCTGTTCCTGCTATAGAAAATGATTTGGCTCCAAGAGAAGCCAGTGAAAATTGTTTTTCACCATTTTTTCCCAAAAGAGGCAATAGCGAGAGAGTCTGATTTGACATAGATCGGATAGTTTTTACTATGGCAATTTATGGCAAAAATAATAGTCGGTCCAATATCTGGAATTTAAGAAAAAAATTGAAAAAATATCCTATAGAAGCGTATGTGTTATTTATGTATATATATTTTTACTAATTTAAGTTTAAATTGAGACATCAAATTTACGTTCCAAAACAATGCAGAAATGAGAGAGTCTTTTGACTAACATCAACCATTTTTTAGGACCAACCTATGCGTATTCGTACATACATACATACATATGTACATACAATAGGTATGCATATATGGAATTGCAAACACAAAAAAAAAAAAAAAAGATAATAATAATTTTGTGTACTCTGCTGCTGAGCGAAAGCTTTTCTCCAAACAGCGCTGCTATTGCTCTTCGCGCTCTTGGTGTTTTGTTTACAAACAATCGATAGATGAAGTGAGTGGGTGGTGAAACGTGAAAGCTGCAGCTACTGCGCAATCACAATTATAGGCAAGCAAGAAGCTTTATTTGTTTGTTTTCATTAAAATTTCCACATTTTTTTTTTCATTTGATAATATGCAACAGGTAATGATTATATGCACTTATCACGTGCTCTATGTGAACGAAGAGAGAGTGAGAGTGGATGGCACAAACGTATAAACATTTTTTTATCGACGAGTTTGTTGTTATTGGCAAATTGGGGATGAAAAGTGGCATATAAAAGCTCAATATTTTTCAAATGACTATCAACCATAAACTATTAAAATCCAGGTTGCATACTTACTGGCGTTAGCGGTTTTAGCTGTTTGGCAGCACTTTTCTTTCAGTAGCTTGGATTTATTGCTCCGCAAACTGGAGGACGAGCTCTGCATATCTCCAGAATATCTTATGCGACACTACGTTCCGAGATTATATATTTATTATATAGCATTTTTTTATTCTTCCGCTCTCAAGCAACCACCCAACTGACTAATAATTATCATCATTATATTAGTAAAAAAAAAAATTTATGCCAAAGCTTATAAAAATTGTCTTGAAAAAAAATTAAATAGTCTAAAGAGATTTATGAAATTTGCGTCGAAACGAAATATGACATCGTACCCAACAAAAGCTCGACAATAAAAAGCTTTGAACAACATTAACAGGACATGACCATCAGCATCAGCAGAAAGTTCAGTAGCAGTTACTCCTTCGTCGAATACACAGCAAATTGTCGGTCGGTCGGTGTGCATGTCGAACATTAGTATTTGGTGTTGCCTCAGCACCAATTTGTTTTCAGCAGAAAGTGCAATAGCACGCCCACAATTCAGTTTTTAAGTGCATCATCACTTAGCCGAGGTAAGTGCTGCAAAGATTAAACTTAGGAATTTCGTTTCAAATTTTGGAAATTTTTACCAATTTATTGCTGTTGGAAAGTACAAGTGCATTTAAAAAACTCTCAAGTACAAAAGTTTGAAGCGAAAATGTGTATACAGTGCAAAAGTTTTCCTTCTTGGATACAGAAAGCGAATCGGCAAAGTGACCGATTTATATTTGTATTTGTATGCAGCATGACCCGAGGTCAATGTGGTGGCATTATGGGGGTATGAGGGCAATTGGGATTAATTGCAATTTTGCACAAATTTCATTTTTATTACAATTTTTATAATAGAAATATATATGAAAGCTCATAAACGATGATGAAAGTTCGCACTTAACTGTTGAAAAAAAATACTGAAATAAAAAATATAAAAATAGATCAACAAAAAAAAAATTATAGAAAAATAAATTTTCTAATTGCGGAGCGACGGCAGGGAATGCCATGCGCTCCGAATATATTTTTGACATGAACAAATCGCAGGCTGTTCCTGGAGAAATATAAAGACACAAATTGGCGGAGAGGATTGGCCTAAAGCCGATTCAGCGGTTTCAGAGCGCAAAATTTCGTTTTTTTCACAAAACCTTGGACAAAATATACAAAATACTACACACATTACTAAGGTTAAGTTCAAAGAAAAAAAAAGTAAAATCAATAGCAACAAATTATTGTTAATGAAGACTCAGCTGTGCATAGTTCAGGGAGACTTCAAATACAATTTTTTTTACTCTGTTTTTGGTGTTGTAGCGGTTCTTCAACCCCGCTTAGCGCTTAGGAGCAGGCAAGACTAGTGTGTGTCACCGATAGAAAGGAGGGGATGTGTGAGTTTTAAATGAGTGGGTTTCAGAGGGCAGGCAAAGAGGTAGTTAATGTCGTACGGGGTCTCTTTACATGCCGGAAATATGTACGTTGGATATGTCTAGGTCAAATATGGATATTTAAGAATTAAGTAGACCAAAATATCCAGATATTAATTTTGCCAGTATTATTCTGGTCCTTCGCATCAGTTCGAACTCTTCAGCTACAATAGGTGGCGCTTGAATTCTGAAAACATCGTTAACTGGAATAGATTTCAGACTCTTTGTGAATGACGTTTAATACATGCTAGCAATGATTCATTGCCTTGAACAGGTGCTACCGGCGATTTGAGCATTTTTCCGCGCTTAAGCAACAGGACCACTCTAACCATTTTTCATATTTCGAATATTTTTAGGAAGGTAAAAGACGGATTGAGAACCTCAATGAGGTAGTGTGCTCCTCTTGGTTCCAGGTGTTTTGGTCTCTCTTAGGGCTACGTATTGACTGTTGCCAAGTGCTAGTTGACTGCCCCAGAAAGAGGCTACAGTACCTTAATTGTTCCACTTACCTATGTTGGTATAACTATATATTGACACGTACTATATACATATACAGAAGAAAAAATTTTAGCATAAAAGCTGCTCAGAAATTAACGTTACGAGAAACCTTTAAACAATTGATTTAATTTCAGGCCAAATGGTATCTTATATTACTTTGTTAGGAAACACAATGCAAAACAATGTGAAAGAGGAAACTGAGAAAAATGCCAATAAAATCTAGCCCAACTCACTCACACATTCAAAAGGTTCTAACAACAAGTGCACATTGAACTTGTTAGGCGGCGGAGAAAAGCAGGCAATACGAGTATTGCGACGATACCTTGGCCCTCAGACTCATCTTCCACTATGACAAAGTGATTGTGATTGTCTGTCAGAGAAATAACGTAAACTGACAAACATACACACTTCCTTATTACCTTCATCTTGGCCTTAAAATGTGCATATTTATTTCAGCCACTTACACTTTTGCCGTCTTCCTTTAATACATTTCCTGCTTCCCCTTTGCCCAATCAGCAGAAATATTTACATACACACATCTATGATATATGTACATACAAATTTTTTATTTATAGATACATTTTCCTTGTTTGCATTTCAGTGTCAAGCTCTTACAACCCTGACACAACGACTAGTGTAGGCATTTAAGTCGGGCAGTTGCTGTGGCGTATACGCAACATAACTCACATTTGGCGCGCCTAATACTTGGAATAGACACACCTTTACGTTTAAATTTCCATTGTAAGACCGAGAGTTTGAAATGGCTTGTCCGTTCTTTCGCCGCAGCGACTCTTTGACGCGTCAGCCATCGGTTTGTGCGGAGGCAAGTAACAACACTTGGCTGTTGGAGGATGAGGAGCAACCGGATGATGCGTTGACACTGACACATTTACAAATGGCCATACAACTGCTCACGGCACCATCGGTAAGCAAACATTTAGTTATTAATAAATAGTAAAATTATGTGAAAGGACTTTTGCTCGTAAAGCTTAATATTATTAGACTGAGTTATATATATATAATTTTTTTTCTCTTTGAACATGAGTAAGAAATTGAGTTAGAACATAAATAACCAATCAACTTTTTCCTCCACTCATTTCAACTCACTTCTACCACTAATCAATGGTACTCTTCTTACAGAATGCCGACTTGAACACCGCTGTTACCGCGCTTATTGCCAAGTACAGCCAAAGCTGGCCGAAAATTTCCAAACTGTGAGTATCTAAAGTAACCAATAAAGTCTGTCTTGTTCACTGACGAAATGATAATGAAATGTTTTCCATTTTTCACTTTTCAGCCGCATTGATTTGGGCACTTTAAAGAGCGTGCCCAACTATGACTATTTGGCTGACATACAGGATATTCTACTGGAAATGGATGAATCGAGTGCTAGTGAGATTTTAGTGCTGTTGGGTGAAGAGTTGATCACGTCGTGTTGTACTGGTATAATAGAGCGCGCCTTTCGTTGTCTTGGCACTGATTTGCAAGAGTTTCTCGGTTCACTGGATGGTGTCTACGATGTGCTCAAATTGCAGGAGGTATGAATAATTTTTAAATATCAAATCCGTGTGGAAAACCAAATAGTAGAAGTAGAGAAAAATAGGACTGAACTGGGATCAGTACGAAAAGTACTGCTATGTTTTTAAATTGAATTCTTTAGCACGGAGCCTTTGCTATAGAATCTAAAATTACTTTTGAGTGGAGAAAGTTTAAAATTGTTATGAGCTCAGATCTAATTCATCTAAAGCAGAAAACGTGGTAATCCAGATATTCGATAGCACCACACCAGTAGTAAGGCGACTCTTTATATATACATGTATGTGTATATAATTGGCAATTTGTAACCGCCGTTTGGCCGAGCTCTTCTTATAATTTGTTGTGTGAGTCATGTTTTTTCAAAAAAAGAGGAAGGACCTACAGTGTATATCAATCTGCCTCCGAACGGCCGTTGGAATTTTAAGACCAGCCTTGATTTCCATGTCAGAAATACACTCGGAGGTGTTGGCATTTTCTTCCGAGGGGCGAATGCAATTAGAAAAATAAATTTTCTGTTATTTTGGAGTTGTGTCGGAGCAGAACTCGAACACAGATCATCTAGACGGTAGTACGTACTGTTAACCATTCGGCTTACGCTTATTTTATTTACTCATTACGTGACTCATTCCTGTCAAGTGTCGGAGGTTGAGTGAGGGAAGTGTAAGTGAATGGTCAGAAACGATTAACTTTCAAACAGCGCACGACTTCCGGTCTAAGACCAACTTATAATAGAATTGCTCAGAAATGAATTCCGATGAATAATCAAACCATACCTCGGATGAGAGACTTCTCTCTTGATGACGATCCCTGCAAACATTAACGATCACGTTTTTGGTCATTCAGCTGGAATTGTCCGATCCCTTATTTAGAAAGGTGCTGCTGTCCAGGTGAATTGCGCCCACGCCTAATTGGTTAGAAAAGGACGATGTGACGCTTAGATGTGAGAATTGTGCTTGCCAACTTGGCATTTTTGCCACAATAGTCGGGAAATTCAGTCTTTGGAGGAAATAAGCTTAGCTAAATGACTTCGCCGGGACCCGAAATATCATTGCCTATGGTATAATATTTGTCTCCAAGAAAATTCAGCTGTCGCCGGTTGCAAAAACCGATTGTGTAGCGATTGATGGAAGACTTGTCCCCAGTGTTCCAGATGTGGTTACATTCCAAGAATCTAACTAGGACCACTACCTTGTTATAGCGGAGATACACACCCATCGACAGCCTTGTACAACTACAAAGAAGGTTCGACGTGGATAACATGCACTTACAACAGACAGGCGAATGGATATCTACTCGACTTGCAGATCTGCTTTCGGCGAGCCCTCATCAGCAATTCGAAATAAGATAACTAAGGAATGGCATCTCAAATTGGCTGCGTATCGTCGCTATAGAGACAATACGTTTTTGCTGGCACGATGAGGAATGTCTAACTGCAGTGGTGAAAAAACAGCCTATCCACCACGCAACCTTGTGCAGGTTTCAAGACAGGAGCAAACTCCCGTAGGACCTAGAGTGGTGGTCTACCTAATATACCGAATTTATGGATGAAACACCTTTCCAGCCTGCTGAATGATAGCAAAAGTTTAATACCAGGTGATGGTGAACACAAAATCACAATCAGTGTTGCTGGAAAATACGTTTCATTATTCCAATATGACGATTTGAGGTTCGAATACCGAGCAGCACGCTTACAGAACAGAACGGGAGGAGCTTAAAGGTTTCCGCCGATCTATTCAAAGAACTGATGAGAACTGATAAGGTGCAGGCAGCAGCTCCTTTGCAAAATATGGTCAGACGAAAGTATGCCCTATGATTGGTAAAAATATATATGCATATATGATTTGCTTAAGTGGCATCTCCAAAGTGGATCAGCTGTATTCATGACATAACCATCGAAAAAACGACTTTTATAACTTGCTATGGTCACATACATACATACATATTACATATATATGAAACAATACGAGGAGTACTTAAATGAATGTTCTTCGAGGTGTTGCGTGTAAGCCCCTAAGAGAGTGATGCAAGCCATCACTTTATTCAGTAACACATACATACATTTTTTACACCTTCGGCACGTGGCAAAAAAAAAATAAAAAATTAAAACAATTAATTAATATGCCTCGTATACAAACGTACACGCAATAAATAAATACATTTATTAATTATTATCCTCTCACTCTCTTTCGTAGGAGGACGTCACCGACACCGGTTTCGTGTGCGCCGGCGATGGTGAATTAATATTCACCTCGGAACGTCCGGTAATCGCTTGGCTGCTACTCGGCTCACTGAAGGCACTCACACGAATGCTATACAATGTGCAGGTCAATATTAAAATTGAGCCTGTCGAAGGCGATTCACGGCGTTATCGCTATTTATTTTCGCTGGTTAAAGAATACAGTGGCGGTGTCACATCGGCAACGGTGCAGCAGCGTAGTGCTTTAGAGCTTGCCAAAGTGACAGCAGCAATGCCAACGCAAAGGAATAATTCGAGCAAAGCAGCTGATTTGGCTATGAATTCGCATACTTTTTGTAAGGCTTTCCCATGGCATTTCATAATGAATGAGAAATTGGAGTTGCTGCAAATGGGTGAGTATTGAGGAGAGCGAGTGTGATTAAACGAAAATACTAATTAATTAAACTGATTAAAAATTTATTAATAAAAATTATTACTTTCCAATCGGGTTATATTATATCTATATATGAATATAAAACGTTTTGTCCTGTTCAACCCACAGACTAAACCACTAGTAGCAGTAGGCATTAAATAAAGAAGAATTTTCCGAGATGCGGATATATTCACAAATATCATATTTTTGGTTGAAGTTGCTTGGCATAAGGAAAAGTGAAAGTTCCTAGCCTAGGCTAATTATACGTGGAAAAATCGCCTTTTTTTCTTATACGATTTAAGATAATTGATTATAACCTATAAAAAAAAATTCCATGCGGACGAATTCGAATGAATCTTTTAAGCGATGGCAACCTTTTTATATATATATAATATATATAATTGGCGCTTTGTAACCGCTGAAGTGATTTTCGGCCGAGCTCCTCCACTCATTTGTGGTTTTGCGTTTTGATGTTTTTCCAACAAATGGAGGGACCTACAGCTTATACTAAGCCGCCTCCGAACGACTGAGAGTTTTCTATGAGGGGTTGACATTTTTTATTTTAAATAAATTTTCTATAACTTTTTTTTGATGTTTGGACGACACCAGGATTTGAGCCCGAGCCTTTCGATCAGCAGTACGCACTGCTAACCACCCGGCTACTGCAGCCGCCTTTCTTTACTACGATTAAAATCATTATTTTTCAATTAAAAAATGTTTACTTAGAAATCAAATCCGCAAGAAATGATCAAAGTCTGGACCTGATTAATTAGAAAAGAATTATTGACTATTTTTGCTTAATTGTAAGAATTAGTAATTCATAAGTTATCTATATATTAAAGGAATTCTATTATTTTCAATAAATTTTCCTAAATTTTCAAATTCTATATTTTTGTAACTTTTCTAGGTCGCGGTTTTAGCAAGCTTTATAAGCCACATATGGCAGAGCATGGTTGTCGCGCCATAACTTATTTCGATTTCAAGCGGCCCAAAGGTTTGACCTTGAAATTTCGCGATATTGCACGTCGCACATATACACCATTTTTGATAGCGTTAAAATGTCCACCAAATGTCAGCGAGTTTTCGGCTAAGGTGAATTAAACCAACTTTGGGATTTTCAATCAACTTAATTTCCACTTTTATTGCAAATTTCTTCAGGGTCTCGAGATCAAAGGGCAAATGGTGCATTGTCCAGAATCAAATTCACTACTCTTCATGGGCTCACCATTTCTGGATGGTTTGGATGGCCTCACCTGTAATGGGCTCTTCATATCCGATATACCACTACACGATGCTACGCGTGAAGTTATTTTAGTGGGTGAACAAGCACGTGCCCAGGATGGTTTGCGTCGGCGCATGGACAAATTGAAGAGCTCAATTGAGGAGGCAAATGCCGCTGTCGCTAAGGAGCGTAAAAAGAATGTCAGTCTATTGCATCTAATATTTCCGGCTGAGATTGCCGAACGTTTGTGGCTTGGCGCTAGTATCGATGCTAAAACCTATCCGGATGTGACAATACTTTTCAGTGATATTGTTGGCTTTACAAGCATCTGTTCGCGTGCCACACCCTTTATGGTCATCAGTATGCTGGAGAGTTTGTATAAGGATTTCGATGAATTTTGTGATCTCTTCGATGTGTATAAAGTGGAGACAATCGGCGATGCTTATTGTGTTGCAAGTGGTTTACATCGTGCTTCAATCTATGATGCCCACAAGGTGGCATGGATGGCATTGAAAATGATCGTGGCCTGTGGAAAGCATATAACACATGATGGTATGTATGTATGTATGTGAGAAAAAATATAGTGAAATAATGAAGCATCCGGATGTAGCTTAATAGTTCATAAGGAGAGAGGTGCTAGATGAGCGGTTTTAAGGCAACTCTGCTCCAAGCACAACTATTCAATGTTGATACTGACTGTTGACCATGACCAACAATGCTCCATTGTACTCTCTTACAGTGCTGCAGATCCCCCTGCGGGTTAGGGGTACAAGAATTTACCCGCGGTAAGGCCTGCCTGTCGTAAGAGGCGACTAAAATCCAATAGTTCACGCGACAGTCAGGATTTTTATCCGGCCAAGGACTAGGCAGAAGAAGAGGGAATGGTGGAACTTTCTGACTAACAAGGCTAAAGGGTTTTGTCTATAGACATGTGGTATTCAGAAGAAATAAAACACTTTCATATGAACAATTCAGAGTTATTCCCAAGAAAACAATAATTTCGGGCAAGTGACTGACGCGTCTGGTTCGAGCAAATTCCAGCCGAGAGACACTTTTTGCAGCAATTGGGGCCGTATGTCAACAATGACGCACCGTATATTTTCCTCTAAGGTTTTCATCGTCTAGAACTTATCGACTTAACCAAGCGATTATACTTACCCCACAAAAAATAGTCCAGTGGGGTTAGAAAGCACGATCTTGTAGGCCCCGTAACAGGCTCACGCCGCAAGATAAATGCACTCAACTAAAGTTTCCGTTAATAAATTGAATATTTCGTCGTCTGTACGGCATATGGCACCGTGTTGTTGGAATTACAGGTCGTTCACATCAACATCTTCCAATTCAGCTATGACTGTAGAATTATGGCCAACATCATTTTTGGAAAAATTTGGACCTACGTTTCAACAATTTCTTGTGGTTTATCGTCACCCCAAGCGCGACAATTTCCTTCATAAACGTACCCATTTAACCAAAAGTGAGTTTCAATAGTGAACGAAATTGTCTTATGAAAGTCGGAATCGGTGGCCATCTCATTTTAAACCCCTTTCACCGAACGAGTGTCTTGCTTAATGGACGTTCGGCAATGATAATGTCTCTGACGACACTCATCATCCCCTAGAGTAAGCGCGACGAACCCGGTCTATGGTTGCTCGAATTAGCGACTCTGCTGGTCGAATATTGGACGTACAGCATGGAGCGTAGCGCGAACCGAATATATTAAAGTAATAGAATTTATTTGCACGAGTAGTAAGCGTTTTTCCTGGGTAAGTCTAAGTATAAATTCTGGGACAAAAGTCAAAAATAACCAACTCCTCCTTCAATTCCTGCTTTTGTGTATTGATGTTTTTAGAATAAATGGAGGAATTTTCAATACGAAAGGTTTTTAAATTTTTTTGATTAAATCCACTCGGATGACTTAGCATTTCCTGCCCAGAGGCGAGCCCAATTGGAAAAATAATTTTGAATGTCGGTGGCACCAAGAATATCTGTACCCAATGCTAAGCGCTCCATCATAATGTGGAACGGCTTATGGTCGCCTTCCATATATGTACTTGAATGATCGTCAGTAGATCCTTCCAGGAATTTCAAATATATGGACACTATTTTGCTTTTCATTTTCTCGATAAAGTTTAACCCAGAAAAAATTATGTATATAATGAGAGACACAATTCTTATTAAAATTATAAAAATATAAAACCCTTAACTACCAATTTCAGATCAAGAAATCCAAATGCGTATTGGACTACACACCGGAACCGTCTTGGCTGGTGTGGTGGGTCGTAAAATGCCCCGATATTGCCTCTTCGGCCACAACGTTACCATAGCCAATAAGTTTGAGTCTGGCAGCGAGGCATGCAAAATAAATGTGAGCCCCACAACGAAGGAGTAAGTGTTGAACTGAAGAGAATATCAAACAAAAAAGTGTAATAATCTTTATTTCACAGTTGGCTTGTTAAGTATCCAGGCTTTGAGTTCGAATTACAACCACGTGATCCATCCTGTTTGCCCAAAGAGTTTCCCGACACAAGTGGCGATAAGACTTGCTATTTCCTTGAAGGTTACCGTCATCCGACATTGAGCCCACAGGCATCGCTAGTGGAACACATAAGTGAGGCGTTGAAGTCCATTTCGGAGCAATAAGATGTTATGCCATACACACACACCTACTTATGTATAACATAATTGAGATTTTAAACTGGCTCATTCTCAAGTGTAAAAAAATTGAATATATATGAAATACATTTAAAGCGTAATAAGCGGTAACAATTTGACACTCTGAATGTTAAAAAGAAAATAAAAAATAATTAATTGTTGTTTGCTCCTCAATATTTGCTGATAAATATGCACAAACAATTTCTGAGCTGTTAAAAAATAAATACATAAATGAAGAATTCAATAAAGAATTCCGGGCTTTGGCCTAAATAACAAGCTTAATAAAATGTATGTAAAAAAGTGTTTTTATTCATTTCTAAAAGCTGCTGATGAACTCTTCTTTAAGATTTTTATTATCTAATAATCCCGCACCACTTGATTCCAATATCGCAACACGCGCGGGTATTCTTCAGGTAACCTCTCTAGCATGCAGTGGGACATTCGTTTAGCCATTTCTTTACCATTCTGAAAGTAAGAAAAGTTAAAGAAATTTTACAGGTATAAATCCATGTTCTTCAGCTAGTTTATTTCAAAAATTAGCAGCAGCTAAAGTATTTTTAATTATCGTAAGCCCAGAGTGATAAAGAAAGCTCGGGATAGTATCTAGGTTTTTGTCTATCTCCTTTGAAAACAGATCTCATTATTAATGTCTGGATTGTAGTACTTGTTGCCCCAATCTGGCGTCCGACTCAATATGCTTGGCCTCATTTTCCATCGACTATATTTCAAGTGCTCGCAGTGGCGACTCTGGTGAGCAGACGCTGCAACTAAACATCAGCGAATCCTTAAACCAAATATGTAGGAGCGGCTCCACATAAGCTTCCTCTTTTTTAACACACACGCATGTAAGAGTAGGAATTGAATATAGCCCCCCTGAAGATTGAAAAGGACCATTATACCCTTAGCGTATGCCGATGATATTGATACCGTTGGCCTCAACAGCCGCGCCTTGGGTTCTGTTTTCTCCAAACTGGATAAAGGAGTGAGGCGTATGACTTTAATAGTGATGAAGGATAAGACAAAATATCTCCTGTCATCAAACGAAAAGTCATCGATCTCGCGACTCTGCTTCCACGTCACTGTTGACTGTCATAACTTTAAAGTCGTTGATCATTTCTTTTATGTTAGAATCAGTATTACAACAGCAGTGATATGCAACGCAGAGTAACTCTTGTCGAGAGGTGCTGCTTTATACTAAGTAGGCAATTGGAAAGTAAAGACCTCCCTAGACGAACAAAGACCAATTACTAGTCACGCCAAGCACAAGTCGTTCATCACTCTCGTCCTTCTATATGATGCCGGCGGAGGCACAGACGATTGCAATATCTAATGAGTCGGCTTTAGTAGTTTTCGGGAGAAAGTTTTTACTTAAGATTTATGATACTCTGCGCGGTGAGACCGGAAAACAGCGCAGCCACTGAAACGGTGAGCTGTACGAGACATACATCGAATCATGAACAGTGACTCCGGTGGATGGGCCTTGTGGTCTGGATGGATAAGAATACACCAGCTTTGTGAGTTTTCCATGCACTACAGTAAAGTAACCAACGGCATAAATGTCCCAACCGATAATGACGGGTAATAGCGAGGACACTTCAAATCGCAGCTGATTGAGCCGTTAGACCCGGAAATAGATCTGCTTCTTTGTGAAAAAGAAACAAAAATAATCATTCTACCCACCATTCTTAAGATGTAACACTCCGACTGTGTAAGTATCTCGGTATAATCTTTAATAAAAAAAAACTTCGTTGGAGGAAAATATTCCATCAAATTGGCGCCTTCGACTTCACTTGATGCAATGGAGCCGGGTAGATGCCTCTTGCTCGTTCTCTAGCATATAGAAAATAGAGCGCAAGACCATCGAAAACAGTCAGGATTTCAATATCGATACACATGGCACATGAACAGGCGAGCCAGCCAAACTCAATGGCTACAACAATGCTTTCCAAAAAGAATTTATGGGCACTAATCGAACCACCGAACGGACAGCCGCTGTAATGGGAAAATCTATTAGTTTTCTGGGGGCCAGCCAAGCGACAAGTAAGGTAATTAAGTGTGTTAAGATGCAGAGACAATTAACAGACTATCGTCCGAAACACACTGAATATCACTTGGGCTTGGAATGAGCCGGATGGAGAAGACAATCAAAAGGTGGGTTTGCGATGTTTTCCACATAGACTGTCCCAAATGTTGTGCAAAGCAGTGGATCATGACGGTCCTTCAGCCATTTCATTAAAAAAAACAACTGTTTGATGAATTTTGAATTTGAATTTTCTGTGATTTTTTTCCCGAAATGGATCACTCTTTACCTTACGTACCCATGTTAAATTAATGCTATTTCATATCTGAAAAATTGGTTAGACGGGGATCCAAGATGAAGTTTTCCGATTGGGATTTTATTTTGTGTCATTATTTATTTGTATAAATTTGTATGGGACATCACGGACCAAATATAATACGAAATACGTTAATTTTAAGAGCTCGATTCCGAATTGTCATCATCATCACGATCAGGGTAACCTAAGAATGTCCATGTAGAAAAAAATTTCCTTTTGCAACAAGGCTGCCCTTTTAGCTGGCTCACTTGCAATTTCTAAAACTACAATATATTTACCAAAGACACGAACCAATTTAAAACTAAATAGATAAGCCTAAGAACTGTAAGTAAAATGTATGCAAGAGTCGCTCATTCTGTGAATATGAGCCACGAATGATTTATTCAATTTGATAAAATAACACAGAGAATATAAAATAAAAATACATTAAATTAAATATATTATTAAAATCAAATAATTAAATCATAAAAATTAAGTAAATTAAATAAAAAAAAATAAAATAAAATAAAATAAAATAAAATAAAAAAAAATAAAAAAAAATAAATGAAGTAAAATCAAATAACTGAAACTAAAATGAAAACAAAAAAAGTACAATAAAACAAAATTAAATTCAATTAATAGAACAAACAGAATAAAATCAAATAGAGTAAAATTTATATAAAATGAAATATAATAAAAAATTGATAAAATAAAAAATAAAATGAAATAAATTTAGATAAAAAATATATATATATATAATTGCTTTAACGATTTTCGGCTGAGCACCTCCTCCAATTTGTGGTTTTGCGTCTTGATGTTTGTTTTTTTTTTCAACAAATGGAGGGTCCTACAGTTTATACTAAGCCGCGGCTGACGGTTTTTTTTATGGGGAGCCTTATTTCATGTCAGATATATACTCGGAGGGGTTGACGTTGCCTGCCGAGGGGCGACCGCAATTACAAAATTTAATTTTTTATTTAAATTAATTTTCTACAAGTTTTTGGTCATTAAAAAAGATAAGGTAGAAGAAACATAAAAATTACGTAAATTTTATTAAATAAATTAAAGCATAATAAAATTAAACAATTAAATTAAATTTGATAAATAAAATAAATTAAACAAAAAAGAAAATAAAATAATTTGATACAAAGTCAAGTAAATGAAATAAATAAAACAAAGTTAAGCAGATTTAAATAAATTTAAAACTGAAGAAAAAAATTAAAAATAAATTAAATGAGATAAGATAAGATAAATAAAAAAAATAAATAAAAAATAAATAAATAAAAAAATTTAAATCAAAATTAAACTAAATTAAGTAAGAAGGAAAAATACAATAAAATTTAACAAAACGGAATAATTAATAAAATTAAATTCATTTAATTTAACTAAATTAAAACTTATTGTGTTGCATGGCATTTGCTAGTTCATTGAAATATCACGGACTAGTTTGTATACAAACAGACCAACACGCGGAAAAATGGGCATGGTTAAATGAACTAAACTTACCATTCTGAACTGAACAGTATTAATTTGAATGGGTCAATCCTTTCTACTTTTGATACTGACACGCTGCAGGAAAGGTTTTAAAACTTTCTTTCAAAAGAGGCCAAGAGAGATTACTACTACGCATTCCCGATTGCCTAACTCAAGCGCCCTTATTTAAGGATAAATCCTAATCCTAATTATCCGCCTAGGTGTTTAATAATTTGCAGCAATAATAAAATTAAACCGAAATTTTTAATACTTATTCACAAAACATACTTTATTAATATCTCGACTGGCAGTGTTAATTTATGTTCTACTTATTTATTGTTTCTTTGCTTCCTCAACATTCTTCTTGATGTAAGACTTCACTCGATCACCAATCTTGCTGGCCATCAAACACTTGTGACCGCGATAGGCCCAAACATCAGCACTGCTACCCTGCTCATTCTTATCCACACAACCTTCAGCAATGGCAACTACCTCAGCCTCGTCCAAATCCATTTTGAACTGCTTGGCAATACGATCGACATGATAACCTTCATGTACGCAGAAGATACCCAATTTCTTAGCTGTGCAGAGTAAATATTTACGTACAGGTTCTTCATCGGGATATTCAAAGCTCTTCATCTTTTGGATGTACTCATCGCCGAGCGGGTTTTCCTTTAAGCATTCCTGACGAATCTCCTTGATTTCGGCAGCTTGCTTCACAGTCCATTCATCATCGGCGTAGGCCTGAAGTAAATGAAAATATAAATAAGAATTTTTTCGAAAAATTTATTCAATTAATAAGTTTACCAATGCAACGACTGCAAGGACAACAATTAGGAATTTCATTTTAGCTAGATTTTGATATGCACTTAAGCGCGGCTCAGAGAACAACTGAATTGTGTAAACGTTGCGATCTCATATTTATACACTCCTCACGCCTCCGTTAAGGTGGTGATGAAATGCATAAACCGAATGTGAGACTCTTTTATACCCCAACGTCCATTGTATGTATGGCATTCGCCATACTAACGGTTGTGAACGAAGTGCATGACGAAGAATTACGTGTATAGTGACATAAGTTTTAAAAGGGTGTGACCACGCCTACATTTGGATAAAAAACACCGAATTTAAGGGACCATATGTTTGTGTTCGCAACCACAAAAGCTGTTTAGCTTAGGTACACATTCGAGCTTTCATTCCGTCAAAAATTAAAAGAATAGTCGGATCTCGAATGCTCGTTTTCAGTCGAACAAAGCCCTTCCTTGTTTGTTTATAAGTTACATATGTATATTGATTGAAAGTGCTTTTTCGATTTACTCTCCATATGTGTTTATGTGTGAATGTGTATATTCTCAGATTTCAGTTTATTTACGGTCTGCTTTGAGTACATACCGTACATATTTTTACATACATATATTTCTTATCTTTTGAACACTCACCAAAAACTTGGCTGGAAGATTTATATATTTATATATGTACATATGTACATATAAATATGTACTTTAATGCTCTAGTTCATCGGGGTCAAAAGTGTACCTGATAACTTTCTTTTCTCGAGTGATAATTGAATAAATACGAATGACAACAGATAGCACTTACAGTGACCACAGTGCAATTAAATAGGACTCGTACATACACGTACGTACGAATATGTCTAATAATCTGTTTGGCTACGCCTTTTCCTCTGACTGCGAAACGTAGTGTATGTGTGGATTTGTTCTGGACGCTCAGCTCGAACGACTCGAGAAAGATTAGGCGCGACTTCCAGTTTAGAAGAAGATCAATAATTTTGATATCGAGACCTACTCTGAGATGTTTTACATCCAAAATTTGTTGTTGTTGTTGTAGCGGTTCTCTAACCCCGCTTAGTCACAGGTTTGATCAGTCTAAGTCGCCGAGGTTATCTAGTGGTAGGTCCAGGAAACAAGCTGTTTCGACGGGGTTGGACCAAAGGGGGAGGGGGTTAGATGAGTGGGTTTGAGACTCTCCACATGCAGGGCATACGTGGGGTATGCTGGGGTCTAGTCTGGATAGGTAGGAGTTTACTAGACCTGAGTTGTGTCAGGGTCACGCGGATCTATCGAGGTAGCTCGAGCTCGTTGTCTGCTGTGGGTTGTGGTATTTCTCCTAGTACGCCATTCACTAGAAGGGAGTCCTTGAAGGTGTTGACTGACTCCTGGTGAATGGCGTTCAGTGCTTGTCGGTACGCCGTCCTGTCCAGCGGTTGTTGTATGTGTTGCTGGATTGTGTCCTTTAAGCCTAGTACTCCCTTCCTGATGCGTCTAGGTGGAGGTTCAGCCTCTATTTGTCCAAAATTTGTATAGAAATATGCTTTGAGTTGAGTGAAATTGATGCGGTTACTAAATAGAGCGCCCAGCCCCCAGCTCCCATCCCCCGGCGTTAGAAGTTTTCGAGTTAAAAGGTTTGCGTAAGATTTGTGGTTAGATTCAACGACCGAACAGTAATATACGGTGATATTGATAAAAAATAGTTCAGTGAATGAAGTGACAACGTTTACGCTGGCTGGATCATATATGGAATGCTGGATCAAGCAATGGCACGCTGTTGTTACCTCTGCCTTAGTCGCGTAAGGCTGATTTTTTAAGAGATATGGGAAAGTTTTTCAACAAACAACATAACACATAAAAGTCAGAAAAATGCATGAAATCTTTATTTGAGTCGATAGTACGATCCATATAATATAATGTTTGAGGATTATTTCATGCAAATGTTGACCGTGACTGCACCTCAAATGGTCCATCCGCTTAGTTCAATTTCGGCTTACCATTTCCAGCATTTCGGCCGGTATCTCACGAATAAATGCTTCAGTGATGTCCTCTAAAGCGTCAATTGAAGCGGACTTGTCTGTATAAACATTGGATTTAACATAGCCCCAAATGAAACTAGTCTAAAGGCGTTAAATCGCATGATCTAGGCGGCCAATTGACCGATGTTTACCGAACTGGCCTCTCAATATGTCCATTGTTACGAGTGCTGTGTGGCATGTGGCACCATCTTGTTGAAACCACATGTTATGTAAGTCAAGCCCTTGTATTTTGGGCAAGAGAAGTTTAATATCATCTTACGGTAGCACTCATCAATCGCATAATCTTTGAAGAAGTACGGTCCAATGATGCCACCAGCCTATAAATTTGCAATGCTTCTGGCACCAATGAACTTTATTAATAGAGCATGCATTTTGATAATGAAATTCGATAATTTGCAAGCGTTGTTCGTTTTTAAGACGATTCATGGTTAAAATATAGACCAAACTGAAGATGTTTGACAATGATACAAAACACGAAACGTGCGTCAGCCAGTGCTGCCAAAAAGATAAAAGCTAAAAAATTACGCCTTATATATATTAGGTTAGGTTAGGAACTTTGCGGTAGTTCTTTCCGTTTCTGGAAAAATATACACCAATCCTATATTCCGAATGTGGTCAGAAATGGTTTGTGGAGCTGAGCCGATGTTGTCAGAAAACGTTCTTGTTCCAACATTGCCTTAACAACATCGTCATCGATCAAAGATGGTCGCCCAGAACGCGGCTTCTCAGAAAGGTCGAAATTACCTGTTTCAAATTTTTCGTACCATCTTCTGCCTATCCTATCAGAAACTGTACCTTCACCAAACATTTTCAAAAAATTTCCACATGCTTCTGTAGCATTTCTTCCTTGCCGAAATTCGTATAATATACACTGGGGTGAATGAACTTTATCAGTCACCATGGGTATACTATCGTTTCATACTTAAAACTAATGCGAATCCATCTTATTAAGCTTATTTGCTACTTGAGTATGTATACGTTACGCGATAAAAATATAGAGCCGAACATGCATTCAATCAACATGTGCTTACGTGGCGAAAATTATGTTATGAATTCGGACAGAACTTTCCGGTAGACCTATTATAAATAAACCTTGACGCCGAAAATCTTCGAAATTGGAATGGCTTCATGGTACAGACCCCTCCAATCAATTCTTCAGATATAAAAATTAAATACTTCAGCTCTTGTTTCTTGTTCCATGAAATTAAGGCTCCTCATAAATATTCGTCGGTCACTCGGAGGTAGCTTTTAGTGAGTTCCATAGCTCTCTCAAATGATTTAAATCTTTTCTTTCTAGATCCCAATAATTTGCACATATAATATTACCAAATGTTATCTAGCCACCTATGTGGAGCTTCAAACGCCCTTGAACGCTCTTTCCCATATTTCAAATTTATATATGAAATCAGTTAATTAGATTTATATCCCATGATTGTACATTCATTCAAAATTCTTCTTTCATATAACATGCTTCCCGTCATTCGTAGAGTAAGTAGCTATTTTTGTGACCCCTGTACCTTCAAAACTCAATACTCTGCGCTCGTACGTTGGAAATCTTTACGTATTAAACGTTTTGAGTCGATACAATGAAGTCTTATACTTTTTGCTCTTCGCTCTCTAACGTTTATAGAGCCGAAATCTTCGTAAAAATCTAAGGATCCTTTATAACCGAATAGAAATTCTTTCGATTTTTTTCATGCTTTTTGTTATAATCGATGGAATAAACTGTGAGAATCTCCTACGCGATTATGTTGACCGAATATTGGACGTAGCGCGCGATACGCACGATTTACAGCCAATGCAAATATTTAGTGAATGCCAAATTGCTTATAGAACGATTGCATCGTCTTTAAAGACTATTTCTAAGTGGTTCCAAAGATTACAGACCGGATATTTTTCCGTAGAGGACGAACCCCCAGAATGTTGACTAAAATCTTCCAATGCTGACGTCACTGTAGCTCTGGTGAAGTCCAAAATGGACGAAGATACACGATTGACACAAGAAATGATTGCTAAAAAATTGGGCTTGAATGTCATGGTTGTATCGCGAATATTGGGATACACGAAGAAATCTGCTCGACCACGAAATTTATATGAGATCGAGTACATTTCGCACAATTTTCCCAAAATAAATTCGAAAATGGTCAGTAAAGTCGTGACTGGTGAAGAATCTTGGTTCTATAAGTACGATCCAGAAACCAGACAGCAGTCCATGGTATAGAGCTCAACAGGAGCAAACTCACCAGTAAAATCTAAGCAACAAAAATTAGGAGAAAAATCAATGAGTTTACTTCACTCGATCTAAAATTATAGCTGCCATTCCACTGGGAAAGGGTCAGACGGTAACTGCAAAATGGTGCACCGAAGAGTGTTTGCCATAAATTTTGAAAAAATTTGTTGGATAACAGGAAGAAAGAGCATTTGCAGCGTTACTTTTTACATCATGACAACGCGTCATCCCACGCTGCTGAAATAACGAGTAATTTAAGTGCGATCTCTGGGAACGTAGAAATACGTCCAGCAACAGATTACCCGGATATACCACCTTTTGATTTTGTGGTTTTTATTAAAAATTAAAAAAAAAAATAATTTAAAGGGAAAGTTATTTAATAGCAACCAGGAGATAATTAATGCGGTTAATGCTGAACTTGTTAAGCTTTAAAAGCGAGATTCTGAAAACTGTATTCAGAGGTGGATCTGTAGGCTTAAGAAACGCCTTGAAATCAATGGCGATGATGTAGAGAAGATAAAAAATGGCAAAGATTACGAATAAATACAAAAATAACTTTTTTTTTTAGTTTTTTCTTGTCAACTTACGGAACATTTGTTAATCCCCTCGTAATTTTCATTACTTTGTATGGGCTTACATTACTTGAGACTTAAAAAATAACGACAACGAATCAACTATGATCGAAGCTTCAATATCGTGAAGTGTATAAAAGTATTGAAGCTTAGAAAGAAATATACATATTTACCGAGAAATAGCCAACTGTTTGGCTAGCACTTAATCGCTTCTGGTACAATAATCATGTGTTTTGGGCAATTGTTGTTGTTTGTGAATAATAAAAGATAATTGTTTTTGTGAGCTGTGGTATAGATGAATTGATATTA